ATGGCACATTTGTCTGCAAATCTGTCACTATTCTCATCCCTTTCTCCTTGTCACTCCATGTCTTCACATGATATTTTCATAACCGGTATTGTCTATTCCGACAATGAGGTTCAGGTCTTCCGTCACGATGGTCAGGTACTTTCCGTGACATTTCCCTACGATCGACTGCAGCCTCTCTTAAAACGTTTTCGTTTCTATCATTAGTGAATGCATGCCCCTGGACAACTTTCATTGTTTTTCATTATTTTGAAGGATCCTTTTGTGATTTTATATCTAGAGATTCCCATCCTATAAATGCTTTTTATGCTTCTTTGGACATCATTAGCATAAAACCTTGTGTGTGCGAAGCATTTTCTTCATGACCAGAGTATAACAGCATCTCTCCCGAAGTAAACCTTTTCTGTCCATCTTGGATCCGATGGGTTTCACTTATTCTAAGAACCGCTTGGTTTTATCTCCTTATTTCTGCAGCTATTTAACTGGTCTTTTCAGTTTCCTATATTATAAATAAATAATATTTGTAATATCCCAATGAGTAATCCAAGTTGGATTAATGTTAATTTTTTATTTATTTATAACAATCTACCCAATGCTCAATTTATTCAAAATTATCAAATCAAAACTTGGTAATGATACCTACAGTCTCGTATATTGTCTGGACATCAAATGTACCTATATTGATTGTTGTTCTGGTTATCAGAATGACCATCGACCTCATGACTTCCGAATAATCTCGGCTTTCACCGTGAGGCGTCATAACTCTTCTAAAGGAAGATTCTTCAGCTCTCAAAGTAGAGTTTAGATGGTTTAAATGAATTCTTCTGATTACCTGTTTTTTAGCAAGGTTTTCTATGAAATGTTGCTGGCCCCATCTCCAAACTCTCTTGGCTTGGAATCGGCAGTAATCCTAGAGGAGCTGCAGACGGAGTTATGTAGTCATGATAAGAAATGGTAAATCGTGATAGCTATAATGATAGGTTTGACTGTCTGCTTTTTAGATATAGTAGTTATAGCTAAGTTTAGCTTTGATATTGGATTTAATTTCAGTCGTTCTTGATTGGGTGTTTTTATACTTTTATCCTTGAGCATTCATTAGTCACCACTCGTTCGTTTGCTCTTTTATCTGATTTGTGTTTCTCGTATGCTAGTCTGAACTCTAAATCATAATACAATTAGACATCAAATTGTGGATTTTCTGTAATAATTGACTTACTTGCCATCTCGCGTAAGTCATTTGACAGTAGGCTTTACCACATTGCTCATTCGCTCTATACATGACGGTTACAACAACATGTCATTTTTTATCGAGCTTACATATTACTTATAATCATCCAGTTATGGCTCAGATATCACGTGATTTCTGAAGTAAACCTTAACAAATATCGTTTATTGTATTTATGTATTTCTTCATTTCAGCCCGGAACTGCTTCTGGGGCAGAATATGTGTCGTCTAGTCATCCATCTGTTCTTCAGTCTCAAAAACCTGTCCTCACTATGGCAAATTATTCTCCTTCTGCGCTTGGCCGTGCTAACACAGTAATGCATTTCGTCACTAACACGAGTGCCATAAATTCAGCGGGGGGATTGGCGACCGACAGCAACACCACGAGCCTAGTTTCTAGTTCACATTCTGCATTTTCCCCTTCTGTTTCCTCGTCTGATGGATCCAGTACTGGGCCTGCACGATCTCTTTCCCAGCGGTCTAGTCCTGGTGGGTTGTCATCATCGTCTAATACTTCATCCAACCCGACATCACGGCGATCCTTTAGGACAGATGATGACTACTCAGCAGTTTCGAGGGAAGTAAATTCAACTGGGTCGTTAGAAAATATCCCAACATCCACGGATGGTACCACACATTCAAACATCAAACCAGTTCGTCTACAGTCGCGTTCGTCCTCTAGTCCTTCACGTTCTTCTCCACCACCTATTTTATCGACTGTACCAACTTTGTTATCCGCTTATCGTAAATCAGATTCTCCTATACATTTATCACACTCATTAAACTCAGGAAGTTGCAATTCGCATGGGAATTTAGGTGGAAAATCTAAGCGTCGCAAATTTAGATAAAGTTTTCTCAGTAGTCTTCCTCAAAAATTTCAAGTTTACTTTGTTTTTGTTCCTCATAAATTCTGAAATGTTTTGTCACACTATATCTCGATGGTATCTTAGTTTTACCCAGGATTTCTATTTTACCAAACGTCGAAATAATTTTCCCCGTATTCGGGTTTTCACTTTTTTTGTCAATTTTGTTCACTGACCGAGTAGATTAGTTTCCACAGATAAACACTTTCAAGTTTTGGGTTATTCATAATACTCTTCTAAATTCACTTACTGTTTGTCAGTCAGTTTTCACTTAGACTAATTTATGTGTAGTTAATTTATTATGCTTATTTATATATCTAATATATATGCTTGTATATCAGCCTTAATTTTGTTATTCCATTTAAAATTTGATTTAATAAGTGGTTTTTCACGAAAATTTGTTTCTTCTTTTGAAGCTTACTCTGAAGAGGAATCCAGTGTATTATTTTCCAGTTTCTCACTTTGTTTCTTGATGACATGTAGTTATAATCATTTCTACCAAAGAACTAATTATCATAAAGAACTTAATTATGATTTAAGTGCACTTCAATATTTTATGTTGCGTATCTTGTACGTGAAAAAACAGTTCCTCAGTTCTAACATTTTAAGATAGATCATTTCAGTAATTTGGAGCTATTTGCCTGTTGGAAAGTTTTTGTTGCCCCTATATCATGCAAATCTATGAAGATAAACAGTTTAGTCCAGGCGTGGGTTGTGTGTGTATACGCGACATCTCTCTAAAAGTTTAAACCCACAAAATACATGGTCCGGCTTTTTAAGTGAATTTTTGTAACATCATAGACTACGCATATTTTGCACAAAGTCCTAGGTAGTTTCTTATTTCCAAGGTTTACCAGAAGCATGGCTTAATTTGGAATTTAGGATCCTGATCTCATATTAGTTAACCGGGTGTGAAATTCACGTTAACCGTTGAAAATCCATCAGCAATGACATGGGGAAGTAAAGGGAAATAGATTTTTCATCGCACATCAATAAACCTGCATACAAAATTGTGTGCTATCCAACTTGCTAAGTTATTATAATTTGTTGATTAGCACTAAAAAACCAGCTGGCTCATGAAGTGTGTTATCTTGTGGATCCATTGATGCAATAGTTTCGTCCGTAAGTCAAGTCTGGCTAGTTTAGAATTTTGGTTCGAGGTGTTTTTATATCTATCACGTAAAGTACGATTTTTGTTTGACAGTTGTAAAACAATAGTAAAGAACTTTAAATATGAGTCGCTCATCAGCATATGATCATGACAACCTGACCAAATTATTTCCATATCAGCTTTTCCAAAAATAATGCTTTCTGTATATAGATACATTACGTCCCACTAAAGTCTTTAAAATCAAATACGTGAGCAATTTCAGAGGATTGGGTTGTAGCACTGCATTAGTCTATATTTTTGAAAATATCTTTTAGCGTATATTTAGGCCAGTCTAAAAAACATTTGGGGTCGAAAATTACTTCTGGCTGCTTCAGTTTTTGTCTATGGACGTCATCTAAAGTTTATATTTCTTCCAGTAGGAATGTCGTTCTCTAGGTCCTTTGACTGATGGTGTAGTGTTACTTAACCTCAAAAAATGAGTTAATATTACCCGAACATAACCACAAAATCTGGGGATATTTTTAGCATATCCCTCTCTCGTTAGTGAATATTGGTTAGAGCTGTACACTGTTAAAATCAGTCGTATGGCACGTACTTTCGATTTCTCATGCACTTTTAATTCAAAGAGATGATTTACGTTGAATGAAAACAACAAATTGACGTTACCGGATTCACAGTTTGCCTTTCATGGTTCACGTAACAAAAGATCAGATGGATTTTTATGGGTTATCTAGAAAAGGAATTGGTTTTCAACGATGCTACTGTTGGTCGTATTTAATGTTTCTAGCAGTAAGAAAAACCATTAATCAAATTCCGGTATCAAAGTTTTCAATTTAGTCTACAAATTAGTATTCTGTATGTCAGACTTTAATCAAATCTTTTCTACCCACTAGGAGTCATCACGATAGACGTAGAATATTTATAGGATTGTGACGTCCCAGCTATGATCGTGTTAAGGAGAAAAGGTGTTTAGTTTCTTAGTTATGACTTCTAAAAGTTAGTGATAGGGTTCAAACATTCGAGTTCTGAATCCTATTATTCAAAAATATGCATTAGCCTTCAAAGTCTATTCATTTGTCTCGATTAGTTCGAATCTACTTCTAGTTATCAGAATTTGTATCAGTGTAGTAGTTAGTCATTAAGAGGTAGGAACCAAGGTTCTCCATGAATTCCAATATTACAGTATGAGGTCCTATTCGGATTTACTTAATTTTCCTATAGTTTCTCATCCTCATATCGTTAGTTAATTCCAAAGTATTTATGCAACCAATTTGAAATTTCGTTCAATGCAACTGGATGATTTTGTCTGTTTTCGTTATCTTTTTACCTATCAATTTACTTTTGTATCAGTGTTTTGCTAACAGATGCTTTATGACTAATATACCAGACCAAGGTTTGTAGAAATAGTTTCATTGTCGCCTTTCAGGCATATATTTGTCCGATTTCCATTTTAGAATTTACATGTTTGATGCATTGCTATACACACAAATGCCATGTAGGTTAGCTTCTAGAGCATTTCCTCAGGAAGTTGCTTATTTCACTCTCCTCATATAATTAGACGCATAATAGTTAGGGATACATATTTTTGAAATTAATTCAAATCATAACTAGTTGGTTGTTATTTCAGACATGAAATATTACTGAAGAGTTAAATAACTTAGTCTTCAAAAAGGAATCTACGACCGAAAATACACTATATCTAATAAACCTGATTAGTTTTAAATAAACTTAGTAAAGATATCACTGGTATATATATATATATATATATATATATATATATATATATATATATAATGTGCAATAAACCGGTTTCACAATTTTAAATAAACTACTTTACAATTTTGTAGGCGTTCCTGTAAAAGGTTTTCTACTGTTTAAATCCAATTGATGTGGATACGAGTTTCGTTTCGATATCTCTTCTGTAGACATTACTGCAAAATAAATATGCAAACAGATCGTTCAAAAGTGGATTCGGATGTATTTTCAAATTTTTTCCCGTTTTTTTTTATCCGATCAGTGGCTAATCAAGAATGTAAGAAGCTGATTGCAGAACTGTTTGTTCCATATTCGATCCCAGCTTTAACTAATTTTGAAGTTCAGGAGGATCGTAGGCAACGACGATTTTCTTTTGAATGTTCAGTTCATGAACCCTTATCGGTTTTCTTCACTCATCTTATATCTTCCATTAATGGCCAGTATTTGAAAGGAAAGAGTGTATCAACCAACAACAGAGTTTATTTAGCTACAAAAGCTAACCTGGTTTGCAAAAGTACAGATGGATCTGCTGCCTTAACGGAATTTAGTAATGACAAGACTCTTGAAGATTGTTTTCTGTCCGACTTTACTAGTAATAATGCTAGTAAACCGTATCAATTATCGTTGCAAATCAACTTTTCCATGCATGACCATCCTGAAAAAAATACCTTGCTTGTTTACACTGTCCAGAAAAACCCAGCACGTATAATCCAATGCCGTTTAAATACAATTCCGATGGTGGGTTGCCCTGTTGTACCGTTTCTTGAAGGAGAAAATATATGTCTGACAAATTCTGAATTTTTATGGTTTGTTGGACAGGTAATCATATTTCCTATACTATTCGTCCCTTTTTAATTTGATATACAGTAGCTTGACTATGATACTGTTTCTGTATATTCGCTAGTGTATTTATGCATACGTGTTATCCCGTTGAATTAAATAACCACAACAAAAATCTTATTTCATGTATATTTATTATTCTTTTCTAATCTCTAGCGAATTTACGACATTCATACTTTAACAAATATAGAAGCAGTAAATAGTTGGATTTATGAATAACTTTTTGCAAGGGAGTGTATAAAATCTGTTTGGTTTAGTTGGACGATCTTAAATAATGTCTGTAGGTAGGCACATCTAGCACTAATCTGTAAAGTTCTCAATTCGTAATGTTAACAGTATGCGGAAATGCAGGATTTAAATCCAACTTTACGTGAATGTAGACACTATATGTAATCAGTAGTTGCTTATCTGTAATGTCGTCTAGTTCTTGTCATGATTTGTAACAAACGAGGAATTTACGAGGAAATTATTGTCTACTTTTCAGTGAGCGTCGATAATGATTTTCATTATCACAATGAATCCGAAAATGCCAGATCTTTTCCAACCTTACACACATAAATTCGGTTAAATTCGCTTAACCGTGACACATAAACTGTCTATTTATCAATGTGGAACTAAGTAAATTTTCTCTTAACTCTAAGCATAAAAGTCAGTGGCTTAAAATTTGACCGTTTTGAGATTATTGAGAGTCTAATAGAACAGTAAAGTTCTTATCAGTAGAAATCTTCAGTTTCGTTCAATCACTTTCTGTATTACAGCTCATTCTGTTAATTTTAATGTTTAGATCCTATCTTTTTAAAATTTTCTTGTGATTTCATACGTATAGTTCCCTTTGTTATCTTAAAGAGAGCAAGAACAAAGATTGGTGCAGAATAATATGAATTCCTTTCATTACGTTAGGTTCTCATCAGCTGCTTACAACCTATATTTTAAAATCAACGTTATTACAAATATTTGACATACTTATAAATACGAAGGCGATTAAAGATGAATATATGTATCATGATGTAGCGAAGATTTCAATAGAGTTAATAAAGTCAATATCTGTAATGACGTTGATTTTAAAATATTATAGGTTGCAAGCAGCTGATGAGAACCTAACGAAATAAAATGTGTGTAATTGTTTTCCCTTATAATTCGCAGTCTAAAAAATGGCCCAATAAACCGTGTCACAAAGGCTTCTTATTCATACCAACTGAAGATCATGTTGGTTTATCAATTCAATTGAAAGTTCTTGTACGTGACATTAAAGGTATGGCCGGTGTCCCATTCGGAATAAGCAAATATTTTGATCCTTATGGACAACCGATTGAATGCAAATCGCCTGTACTTACGGCTTCTAATCAAGTATTTCATCAACTGAGGTAAGAACGTTAATGAGTGGTTTAATTTCATTCCCTATAAAAGTAATTTTACATAATGGAGTGAAACATTTAAAATTAAAATAAATATGATATGTCTTGTAGGTTGAACGCCTTATTCGGATCCTAAGCTATTCCGATAACCCCAGGACTAGCATTACTCAGCAACTTGAAGACCAGAGAAAAGACACGGGTATCAGAGCAAACCTTTACTGCAAGGATCATCTTTGTACAGAAAATCGTAGGTATTTATAGATGTTTGCTTAAGTTAAATCAACATCCTAATTCAGCCAATCCAATTAACGACATAAATTGCTACTGACCAATGGTAGCATGCCACGTTGGAACTCCAGAATGTTCTGTCGTACTCTGATTGGTTGGAGCTCTTTTTGAGCCTCTGGAGGCTCTGTTGGAGTTCGCTGGGAGCCGACTTAACAAAATATTCCCTACATTTCTAGCTTGTTTGTAATACGTTGAGGATAGGAATTCAAGGGATACTCTGCCAAGTAACTGCACTTGTCACAACTAAATGTGGTAGCCACTTTTTCGGATAAACTTATCAATAGTAATACATGCACTTTGCAGAAGTAGCAGAATTGTAAAATGGTCAATACAATATGCCTTATGTTTTATTTTGTCCTAATGATGCTTTCCTACACGTTGGTTAAAGAATGACGTTTGAACCTGTCACGCCAAAAAATTAGATAGTTAAGGATAGTGGTTAACATATAGCTATTGAATTATGCAGTCTATGTATATGTTCGTCAAAGCGATATAGAGCTTTGGGAACTACAGAATTAGATTCTTCAAAACAGCGATAATTGTAGGCTGTAAATGTCAGGGTATGGCCTTAATAGATGTTGAGCAATCAGTTTAGTCATACTCTCAATTTTTTTTCTTTTTGGTATGCAAATTGGACGTTTCTCCACTCAGTCTCATAACCTCACACTCTTATTCTCATATTAATTAACAGGTATAAGTGGATTGAAAACAATAAATTAGATTCACAACATTTACGTGTTGTAAGTTACAACATTCTGGCCGAAATGTATGCTCGATCTGATTTTGCTCGTGCCCATATATTCAAACATTGTCCAGAGGCTTGTATCAGTTCAGCCTACCGATTACCTTTGATTTTACGTGAACTGTTTTCTTATCAGTCGGATTTCATCTGTCTTCAAGAAGTCGATCGATGGGTTTACGACAAATACCTTTTAAATGCTTTAAGATCCTATCGAAATATGGACGGTATATTCTTAGCAAAAAGAGCAGTCATAACTGATCCGAATGATCCAACTAAAGTTAAAGTTGACACAGAAAAGGAAAAGGTAGTTATAGCATATCTTTTCAGCAAAATAAGTTTATTGATGGTGATATGGTTTAGTGGTTTCTACCAAATTTTTTCATTATTTTTGAATTCAGTTAATGCAAGTGACATTAATATGTAAGTACTTATTGTGCTGTAGTCTAAAAATGTGATAGCCAGTGACGTGGTGGTTAAAGTTCTCGCTTTTCAATCAATAGGTTGAAGGCTTGATTCCCCTTTACATTTCCAGTTCAGATCTATGGGCTATCACTTATTCATCGTCAACCTAAAGCTTGGAGATGTATGCCAGGCTACGTTTTCATATCACTAGATTTCACACAGCGAGTCTCAATGTCCAAGGAAATAAATCTACATTTGATACATAAATCACAACTTATCATCAATACCATCATCAACAGTCGTCTTTATGTTATGTCTTTTGCTGTATTAATTACCACGTGACTAAATCGCTAATTAGAACACCAACTTATTGACCAGACCAATGACGCATGAAACAGTGCGACACAGCTTAGAGTCAATTCCGAGTTCTGATTGGTCCTTCTACCTAGCCCTGCCTGTTGAGTCCAAAACACAGCTCCCACTGCATGGATCATGTATTTCAGACATACGCAGTTTATATACAAACAAATCAGACCGTATCATGCTATAAAATAAAAAAATAACGATTATGCAAGATCAAGCCAAAGTTAGCTGTTAGTGTGAAAGACTATAACTAATAAATTAGGAATACCGTAGTAATAGTGATTCGTATAATAGTAGTCAATAAGTCAAATGGAAGCTTATAGTAAAAGAAATATAAATATATAAAATCTACTTAGTAGTAATACAATAATATATATATACTTTCTTTTCATTTCAAAGGGTGAAGGTTGTGCAATTTTCTACTGTCGTACCCGGTTTGAACTTGTATCGGAATGCGGCTTACCATCGATACTTCATTATGCATCAAATGTTCCATTTTTATCAACTATGTTAAACAATTTCAATTCCACAACCTTAAGTCATGGCTCAACGGGTCATTCGTTTGGTGAAGAGAACACTGAAACCCATATTCAAAAGTCATTATCGCAGTGTCTGATCAGTGGAGTATTTCGAGAAAAGTCGACCACATCACAATCTCCTTTACTGATTGTTTCTAATGCCCACTTCTATTTTCATCCTTCAGCTAGTCCGATTCGAATTATTCAGGCGCGTACAGTTCGTCACTACTTATTAAAACTTGCTATGGGTTACAGGCAGTCGGATAAGCAAGTATTTTTTTTGTTTATTGGTGTATTTTTTGCTTTCTAGTCTTCAACACTCCTGGGCTGGTTACTCATATTACCAATGAAATAGTGATTAAATATGTACGCATTATGGGGATGCGTTCGTTTGATAAAGATCTTTAGTTACACTGTCCACCTAACAGAAGATAGCTGTTAATCTAAGTGCATTCGTATAGAATGTAGATTCTTGATGCTGAATATGTAAAGCTTATTAAGCTCTAAAACTTGGGACTTATTTTAATAAAAAATAATCTTCATCTGTTTTTACTAGGTCAATGGTTCCGTTAATTTTTCTTTCTTTTCATGTTCACTTCAGTAAACCAATTCCAATTGTTTTTTGTGGGGATATTAATCAGTGTCCAGGTAGTGATGTGTATACCGCCCTCACTCAAGGTAATGGATTCCCTTCTGATGATGAGGTTGCTTATCAGCCTATATTTGAATCAGCTTATGTAAATAATCCACCTGAATTTACTAACTGGGTGCCTGGATTTCACAATGTTTTGGACGTTATACTGTATAATACCGACTCAGATTTAAAATGTATCCATGTGTTACCGATTGATCCACTGCAGAAAATCAAAGAGCTTTTGACTCAGTTAATCAATTCGGATGGTCAAAGTGTGCCAGATTCTAGCCAACTGGGTCTCCCAAATGCCTATTTCCCAAGTGATCATATCGCACTTGTAGCTGATTTTTCATGGGACTCTTTAAAACATACAAGTGAATAGTTCTTCGTGTATAACAACATAAAAGAAAATGAGCTTATAAAAACAATGATAATCGTCATCTTTTTATTAGATAGATCAGTCAATCTAACATAGATTTCATTTTGATAAAATTGAAGCGATAGACACATGTTTTTAAGGTAAATCTTAAAATTGAGATAACTGTAATGTAAACAATATTTTGTTGTGGCTGCTATTTTCTATGCTTTGCTTTGGTTTTATCAAATGTTTCTTCTCAACATAGTGTTGTTTTCGCCCTTATCATCTTGTTCTGGACCATATATAGATTCAGATTGACATTCTACAGATACCACTTCAAATCTTCCTGTAGAACTGGAAGCTATAAAATAAAAGCATTAAAGTAGTCAAATGATTGTAATTATGGAATACATTTTGTACGGTGTCGATTTAATAAATAACTATTGGATGAAACAAATATTATCTTGGTAAGTAGAGATGGATAGTGGCTAGCAGTGGAATCCAGGACGCGCGTTTCGTCCTATTTGGGACTCGTCAGCTGGATGTACCTGTATCTCAGAGTTGATGTTCACTCTGGGACTCGAACCCAGTACCCTCGCTTTAAACGCCATCGCGTTATCCACTCGGCCACTGAGTCCTGATAGCCACTTGCTTGTGCGATGGGGTGAAGTTTGAATTCACTTAGTATTGTTTGTTTGGATCTTCCCATCGATGTGTTTAGGACTGCAACTGGTCAGTCTCTAATTGGCATATGTGCATACTGTGCGTGTTGCCTCGATATACCTTAATTCACAAGCATGGTAAGCAGAGATGGATAGTGGCTAGCAGTGGAGTCCAGGACGCGCGTTTCGTCCTATTTGGGACTCGTCACTATCCATCTCTGCTTACCATGCTTGTGAATTAAGGTATATCGAGGCAATACGCACAGTATGCACATATGCCAATTAGAGACTGACCAGTTGCAGTCCTAAACACATCGATTGGAAGATCCAAACAAACAATACTAAGTGAAATATTATCTTGTATATTTATACATGTCATATGTACGGTGTTGCGTATTAATCTTTGGCTCGTTGTAAGCAAGCAAACCTTTTGTTATACAAGAAACAAGTCCCAATAATTAGAAGCAAATAACACTGTTTATAATAAATATGTTTCTAATCGGAAAGCTGAGACTAGTCGGAACTCCCCGAAAATGGTACTGATTGAGAATTGTATGCGTTCGTAATGCTATAGATTTTCATATAGATCGCTAGCAACTGTGATAATGGCTGGAGTCTCAGAAATTATTTCTATGGACTTTTTAGGAAAAAATAACCCGAAAATCATGTACGTACGTCATATGAAGAGAATGAGAAGATAAATCTTAGGAAGGGATTCCGAAAAAAATCGAGATCCTCTGAATTCAGTTCACTAAACTAAATTCGTTTGATCAAGCCATCTATTGCAGTAAAACTGTATAAACGTGACTTTGCAAGCTAAAGTTTCAAGCTGCGCGTGGTCTAAAATTCAAGACACATTTCGAATATGAGAAACTAAACTAAACCTAGGAAAAATTCACTACTGAAAAAGAATAAACTTCACCTTTCATGTGACCATTCAGTTTTGTGTGTCAATATAAAAGTTCGGTAAACAATAGTCTGCAATGAGTTGGCCAGCTGTAACCTCCTGGAAAAACTGTCGTTCTATCAACTACTTGTTTAAGTAAGGGATGATATTATCAAAACTATAAGCAACGGAAAAAACCCCTTCCCTAATTGGCATATTATGGTAAAAGGTAGAAAAAGTTAAGATTATGTTGATGAATAATTTAAAAATCAAATCTGAAATATCCACTACTGATAACACTACTCCCATTTAATGTTCTAAATACATGGAATGTGTATTGGTTAATCCGGATAACAACATCTTAGGGATTAATTTCGTCACTGATGATGATATCACAAAGATAAAACTAGGCTCATTCGACTCAGTTTTGTGCTCTCTAGTTTAAATAATTATCCGGGAGTCAAGATTCGCTTATATAACTATACCTGTTTCCTATACTATTCACTATTGATTGATTGTAAAATATGTGGAGATCGATTGTATGAATTCCTTTTTTTCTAATCCTTCGTTAGTATCATGTATCACATCTGCTCTAGCAAAAAGTATTAGTGTAACAATAGTAAAGCCGTTAAATGTGATTGTAGTTGCCGAAAAAAGACCAGTTTATTATCAGAATCAGATTTTTGTGTAAAATTTATAAACTTACTTCTCATTTTCGATCCTGCAATCTCATTTATCATTGGACATTTTCTATATTTTCCCTTTTCAATTAATGGTGAAAACTGGACATCATTTGTTTTTAGATTCTATTTCAGTTTTCATGAATAAAAGAGTAAGAAATCTGCTTAGAAAGGTAAAAGTTATGACTAACTGGTTATTCAAGCTACTTTATTTAAAAAAATAACGAATAAAAAGTTTAATGACGCTCTGGAATATGTTTAACTAATCTGAAATCTATATCCATATTCTTTTTGAGTTGTAAAACTACAACGAAACTAGACACAATTCCCGTTGTTGATGAGAATATCACAGGAAATCACGAAACTTTCCTCCAGACATCTTTTCTTTTACATTTGACGTCTGTCAATTCAAGGGGATACTTGCAAAGTTAAACTAAATATCTGTGAGTGCTAAAAACCAAAATGACCGATAATTATTACAGAAAACTATAGGAAGTAGAAAGCTCACCTACCTATCATCTAATAGCTTTGTCAACTGATATAAAGGTATAGTGTAATTTGAAAATATTCGAGTTTTCGGGTCACAATTTGAATTTGTTAAATTACTTTGATGTAAAATAACAGTAGCAGTTAAGTTACTTTCATTTTGTTTTGAAGTTATCTATCTATCTATTAATGATTTCACATCAGTTGAAGATGTGATAGCAATTTTAAGAATTGTTGAATGTAGTCTATTCCAGTAACTAGTTTATTTGTGATCCGATTAACTGGTTTAATTTTACGTTCTTTGTGTAAATAGAAATAACATACCTGGTAAATAGTTTGGGGAAGATAACATCAAATGAGGACTACTAACAAGTATAGATCATACTAGCTAAATTGAAGGTATTTAATACAGTTGAAATAAAGTAACTGATCTCTGTGTTATCTCAATGACATACACACATAGGTACTATGAAACTTGCAAATCGGCAAAGCCCAACCGTTGCTGATACATTGACGTGGTGGTCGGGCTTGCCTATCGTGATGAACCAATCGAGCTATGCTGACTGGAACAATCGTACTGCAAGGTCCTACCATGGCAGACAGGTCGGTTGAAGTGCAGTCAGACTAAAAGCAGCCAACCCAAGGTCCTAAGGCGAAGTCGTACTGCTGACTGTACAGAGGTGTGACAGCAGTAAGGTGTTTCCTTCGGACAACCAGCATAACAGCAATGCTGCCATACCACAAGGAGGGGTGGAGTTAAAAAAGGTCGACCCTTAAAATGCATGCCTCGACTTATCCCACGGATATCCGTCTCCGGCGGTAAGGTCCCAACAAGTACGGAGCTAACACAAAAATGTCGTGTGTGACCGACGTCAAGCAGTTGTCCCTTGGGCATTGCGGTCACGCTCTCAGGGCACTAAGATCAACTCTAATACAATTTCGCTTTCAAGTACCTCCGCAAGAACCTTTCCACGGTGTGGGCAACCGGGAAGCTATAACTGATCTCATATCTCTAACAGCACTCAAGACCACTGTATTCATAATCAATTTCCTTCTTCAGTCCCTACTACTCCTTCTACATCGACTTTCAACACTAAACTTCCTCCTCGAGTGTCACTATGGCCAGCGACTCTAGTGCGTAAAACACTATCCCAGGTCTACTAAAACCTCGCTCCGAACTGCACATTGGAGCCTTCAACATACGTACCCTATGTCAAATCGGCCAACAGGTCTCCTTGGCTAAAACCCTAGAATCTCATACCATTGATGCATGCTGTGTCTCTGAAACACACATACAGGATCCTAGTGTAGTCATTCACTTGACCTCACCTCATCAAAATGGAGCCGACGTAACACACCCTCCGTGTATCTGGCGACCCGATGGCTAGCTCTCGTTGACTTGTAGGTGTAGGCATAGCACTTAGTACGAGGGCAGAACAAGCACTATTAGAGTAGGTCCCCGTTAACAATCGTCTGTGTTGTTCGGCTAAACGGCTCCGTAAGAACTCGAAAGGATAGGGACACATGTCATTGCCTTTTCATCGCTTCCGTTTATGCTTCCACTGACTGGCTGAAGTGAAAGATGACTTTTACAGAAAGCTCTCTAAACTTCTTCAAAAAGCTAAGCGCTCAGACATAGTAGTCGTAGCGGGTGACTTTAATGCCCAATTATGTAGCTTAAACCAAACAGAAAGACATTTAGTTGGGTATTTTAGTATTCCGGCTCATTGAACAGATAATGGTGATCGTCTGCTGCAACTGTGCTCAGATAATCGTTTATTTTTAACAAACACTAATTTTAAGCATATGGAGAGACATCGTCTAACATGGAGACCACCTGCACCAAACCAAAGATGGACTTAAATAGACTATATTGCCATCAGTCATCGTTGGAGAGGCTTGATAGAAGATTGTCGCTCGTACTGAAATACATGTTTAGACTCTGATTATGCTTTAGTACGAGCACGCATTTGTTTGTGCCTCACTGGACGCAGAAAAACTGCACTAAGAAGACTCATTAGAATTGAACTGAGTGACGAGAAAGCCAAAAGTAAGTTCCAGGAACAACTGAGTTCACATTAGGCAGTTCTGTAAACGAGGCTGACCCAAATGTTGCTTGGAAGGAGATATGAACAGCAGTCGCATCTATTAGTAATTTAAACCAATGGATTTCTTCTAAGTCTATTGCACTGATGGATTCTCGTAAACTCATCCCATCAGGCTCTGAACACGACGAAGAGCCAAAACAAATCAGATCTAGTTTAAACATAAGTCTAAGGAACGACCGTGAGCAGTGGTGGGCAACGAAAGCAAAAGAGATGGAAAAGGCAGTGGCTGTAAGTAACACAGGACAGCTTTTCCGACTTATAAAAGAAACTGGAATTAAGAAGTCATTTGTAAGCGAGACAATCTCGGAAAAAGATGAGACTCTCAGCGCAGACGTTTAGAACGATGGGCGGAACACTTTAGAGAACAGTTTAGCTGGCCTTCAGCTACTCTACAGTTACCCACCATTGCCAAACAGTCTGAATGGAACAATGAAGTAGGTCTCCCGACTCTGGCTAAAGTTCAAAAGGCTATAGCTAATCTGAAATGAGGAAGAGCAGCTGGTCCAGATGGATTGGCTCCAGAGTTCTTTAAATATGTTGGTCGAATTTTAGCGATTAGGTTGACCAATATTTGACTAAAATCTGGAAGTTGAACGCAATCCCATTTGACTGGTCACAATAACTGATTGTCCCAATATATAAGAAGGGGCCCAAATCATCCTGAAATAACCATAGAGGGATTAGTTTGACTAATATAGCATCTAAAATACTAGCCTCAATAATTATCGGGCGCCTAACTAAGACTCGTGAACTGCAAGCACGAGAAAATGAGGCTGGCTTCAGACCTGGTCGTGGCTGCATTGACCACATATTCACCATTCGTCAGATTTTAGAACACAGGTATGCTTATCAGTGTTCTACAATGGTGATCATTCTTGAATTAAAAGCAGCGTTGCTGGAAATAACACTCGTCGACTGAATTTTCAGGAATTGATCTCGTACCAGGAGGTCACTTATCGACTATTATCGAATAAGCAGATGACATAATCCTATTAGGTGAAGACGCTGATAAAATGCAGAATCTTCTGTTAGAACTGAGTAACAATGCCAGGATGTTTGGGATTCGTTTCTCTCATTTTAAATGCAAATATTTACTCCAATACTGGCCTGCGTCAACACCTGAACTAAGGATAGGGAGCAAAGTAGTTGAATGCGTCGACAACTTCACTTATCTTGGTTGGATGTCTAATCAGCCGTAATGAGTTGGTGTCCGACGAAATCTCTGCACAGGTTCAAAAACCTCGTTGGCTTTTGTCAACCTATGGCGAAGACGAGATATCCGCTTATCAATTATGGGACGAGTATACTGCACAGCAGTTCGCTCTGTTCTACTTTACAGCTGCAAAACGCGGGCAACAAGATTAGAAAATTGTCGTAATTTACTAGTATTTGACCACAGATGCCTTCGAAATATTGCTCGCATCTGCTAAGATAACCGGGTAAGTAATAGTGAGGTCAGACGGTAGGGGATTAGGGAATGATGGTAAATCAGTTGGTGAGGTTGTGAATCTTCATCGACTGAGATGGTTGGGTCACGTGTTACGTATGCCCGAACACCGATTATCACGACGCGAATGCTGACTAGTATTGGCGATGATTGTGAAAGAGTTAGGGGCGGCCAAATCAGAGCTTGAAGTCACTAACTTCTGGTCTGAGCCATGTTGGTAGATACAGACTACTTGGTTGTGGTCCGCGCGACTATCATAACCAGTGGTTGAAGATTCTGTGTGATATGGCTGAGAATCGATCACAATGGCGTAGGTGTATACACTCTTTTTCTCTACTTAAACTGTGAGATTAAAATTTCTTCATATTTGTCTTTGTTCATATAGTATATCCTTATATAAAACCTTTCTTTATATACTACCACCACTAAATTAACTATTTCTATGAATCCGGTGTTCATCTTGTTGTGCTAGCGAGGTATGGTAGCTTGGACCGATTTATATGTGTGCCTGGTCCTATGTTGTAGCTGACTGATATCGGCAACGAGAAGATGAACCCAGTCATAAATCTCTAGAAAAACAAGTTCCCCATCAGGTTGTAATTCGGGATTCTAGTCCCTATTAGCCTGATATTTCTTATTAAATTTAAGTGTATGAAACTATCTCGTAAGATATTCTAATGGTAAATTAATTAATTAGCTAACAAAAATAGAATATTAACGATTGTTTGGTCTTTTTCAAGCTAAATTGTAACATTAGTCAGAAAATGGAGTTCTGTTGAAGGTTTACCATACAATTTGGTTTATATATCAGATATTCTTGTATGATTTAGTTCAACCTCTACGAGGCAATCTGTATACCACAATCCTTACTTATAATGTTAAATAATGTGTGAATCTTAAAGGGTGTTGAGAGTTACAAACATTTCGTCAACCAGCTTATCCATTTAAAAAATAATGAAGGACATTATCAGTTTACAAAACAAAATATTACTTTGTTTACCAGTAAAATCAACCTACTTCATTAGTGAAACTTGAGAGTCTAGTTTCAGACGCTAACTTTACTCGTGTAACATTATTATTACTTTTGTTGTCAAGATTATGACAAGTGTTACTGTTGATATGTTTACTGACAAACGTAGGACGACTGGTAATGTTAATAGTTTTATTAATATTTGTAGTGCTATTAATATTATTGCCAACTGCTTCATCTTGAGACACCATAGACTTTTTATCGGGATAACAAAATGTATGGCGCTTTTTTACTCGTTTCACGGCGCTTCTTGATGATAATTCGTCAGATTTCTCCATAAATCTTTTCTGAATAAGTAAGATAAAAAGTAAAACAAGTACAATGAGAACCATATGTGAACTAAATAAACTAGTATTTACAAAATATGCGAATAAACGGGACTTATTTTTTGTACACAATTATGATGATAATGTCACGGTTGCGAAGATTTGAAAACTATTGATTACGAAACATAATCAAGTGATCGGTTTATAAGAATAGCAAAGAAATTCATACCTCATACTGAATTAAATGATTTATTCAATTCCTAGACAACCTTGAAATAAATAGTGATATCATTTTTCATTATTTACGCCACTAGACCGAATTTAGTAATATTAACTTATTCTCAAATCGATTAACGGTAATTTACAGATTTGAGAACATGGAATTCTAAAGTTGAAGTACAATAAAAATGACATTTGTCATGGAAAATACTTCTCGGTGGTATAACCAAATGGATACAATCAAGGGGACTTGATAATCCTGTTTGCAAATTTAGTTGGATAGTGTAGTGAATGTGTGAAGTCGGATAATATTGACGAAACTACAATAGCAAATTCATTTATCTATATTTTTAATTATAAATAGTGACTATATCCTTCATGTCATTGTTTCTACTACTTCTAGTCAATCTTGACACGATAGTTCAACTTAATTGTTTCCCTCCTTGAAGATTGTCTGCATTCCCACGTAACTTGCCATTATTACATCACATATTGAACCACATGAAGACTTACTTGTGGGAATGTTAATTCTTTTCCTCTCATGTCCTTTATGCACAATAGCTTAAGCATATCTTCACCTGCCTTAGAGGGAAGTAGTTATGCCTCGGGATTGTGATGTTAGCGTACGTCCTCTTCCTTGACTGATATTGAATTTATCTGTATTTGATTCTGCAAGTGTTCTAAAACCATTTAAATAACCTTGCTCAAGATTGAGAATTACAAATATTTGGAATTCATAGTTGATTTAATGTAGTAGGATAGTTTTCAGTTGATGGGAGCTTTATGCAACTTGTGTCCGTGCCCGTTTATTTCTCATCAAAAATAACTTCACCTGTAAATGTCTGATAAGCAAGCATTAAATCTTAACCATCAATATTAGAATGTGGGCCAAACCAATTAATCGATGTGTTGTATGATGTACATGTAAGCAAACACACATCAAGAAGTCTCAGTCAACTTGTTTATTACGTTTGTGATGTGGAACAAAAACGTACTCCAGACATCACTTAAGCTTAACAATTAGACAAACTAAGATTCTGATAAAAATATGTAACGATTATGTAAATTTGGAGAAGAATGTTAGTTGAGCAATAATATCTGTTACAATAAAATGGTGAAACACGGAACAGTTTTGTTTTGCTTCTCTCCTTATATAAATGACTAATGCGCTATGAATAATTAAGCTATGAGTGAAAAAGTATAGCTATGCTTGATTAGCTAATGACATTTCATTCAGGTGTAGTTCGAAGTATATTCTCAACAGCTGAGTTTACTAATTAAGTTCGATATGATTTACACTCAGTTATCAGTTTGTGACAAATATTATGTACATATACAACACGAATAGTTCTAAAAAATATTATACAAAATTATTATTTATGTTTCCGAAGGTGATCATTTAGAAACAGACACGTGGTCAGTTTGTAAAGACGTAGCGGGTAACTACATGAAGTCTCATGCAAACTAGATGCATTCCCAAGAACTCTCATAATTAGGTGGTTGAATACTTTTTAGATAGTTCAATCTATAAGAACATCATACGCACAAACAACTTTGAAACTTACCAAGAAGCTGTTATCACCTTGGGTTGTTTCTGCAGTAATAGTCTGTAGATAGGGATCTTTTTTGAGATCCTACAACATAGTAAAAGGGATATACTTTAAAGTTAATCATACGAAGAATTGACTGCAAAAAATATGATACATAGCCATACAAAAGTGGTCATACTCGGAATAATCGATTAGGAACATAACCAAGAATATTTTATAGATATGAGATATAACTCGTGTCACAAAAGCGTTTGAGTGAAGTATATCATAATCATCTATCGATTGTATCTAAAATATTGGCTATTATCATACTGCTCATATATTTTAAGACATGTGGAAAGCTGATTCATGAGTATCGAAAGGGGTATCGTTCAGGTTATGATAATAACTTCCTTCTCCATCAAATGCTTGAACACACACATATTGCAGGTCAATAATCGATGTATTCCTGCCCATTTCGATCCCCTTCGATTATCTGAACGGGACCTCTCTAAAATTGTTTGTTTGAGAGGGGTGTGTCTGAGACATTTGCCAACATCTTGAAGACACCATGGTGAGTGAGAGTACACAAACACTACTGTCTATTGTAAGCAGAGATGGATAGTGGCTAGCAGTGGAATCCAGGACGCGCGTTTCGTCTTATTTGGGACCTGCATCTCAGAGTTGATGTTCACTCTGGGACTCGAACCCAGTACCCTCGCTTCAAACGCCATCGCGTTATCCACTCGGCCACTGAGTCCTGATAGCCACTTGCTTGTGCGATGGGGTGAAGTTTAAATTCATTCAGTATTGTTTGTTTGAATCTTCCAATCGATTTGTTAGGACTACAACTGGTCAGTCTCTAATTGGCATATGTGCATACTGTGCGTGTTGCCTCGATATACCTTAATTCACAAGCATTGTAAGCAAAGATGGATGCAGGTACATCCAGCTGACGAGTTCCAAATAAGACGAAACGCGCGTCCTGGATTCCACTGCTAGCCACTATCCATCTCTGCTAACCATGCTTGTGAATTAAGGTATATCGAGGCAATACGCACAGTATGCACATATGCCAATTAGAGACGGACCAGTTGCAGTCCTAAACACATCGATGGGAAGATTCAAACAAACAGTACTGAATGAATTTAAACTACTATCTATTGTTCCAAACTATTAACGGGGTAACCTAGAGTGGTTCTTTTCCTCTGTTCCCTTGCAGGTTTGCAAGTGCTGACTTTCCCAAGACCTATGTGAAGGAAGTAAGTAGCGACAATGAGGATCTATTATGCAGAACTAAATTACTCTCCTGTCTATACGAACCATTTCATTTTATTGTACTCTATCGTGGTCTTCTGAAACCACGCTCCAAACTACATATAGGAACTTTTAATGTCCGAACATTGTGCCAAATAGGACAACAGGCTTCCTTAGCTAAAACTTTAGAATCTTATACCATCGATGTGTACTGCATCTCCGAAACGCGCATACAAGATCCGAGTAGCGTCATTCATTTGACCTCACCTAATCAAAATAAAGTTTCATCTCGATACACGCTTCGTGTATCTGGAAGCCCTGATGCTGCTTCCCGAGGCCTCGCTGGAGTAGGTATAGCATTAAGTCCTAGGGCAGAACTAGCTCTTTTAGACTGGATCCCAGTAGACAGTCGTCTATGCGCTGTCCGACTAAACGGGTCAGTAAGGACTCGGAAAGATAGGGAAACCCGTCGTTGCCTCTTCGTCGTCTCTGCCTACTCTCCCACTGACTGCAGCTCAGACGATATAAAAGATGAGTTCTACAGGAAACTTTCTGACCTTCTCCGAAAAGCTAGGCGTTCTGATGTAGTAATAGTGGCGGGTGACTTCAATGCTCAAGTAGGTAAACTAAGTGAAAGGGAAAGGCACCTGGGTGGATCTTATGGTGTCATGGCGGAAAGAACAGATAATGGCGACCGTCTGTTGCAGCTGTGCTCAGATAACCGCCTATTTCTTGCAAATACTAACTTTAAGCATAAGGAAAAACATCTTTTGACATGGCGACCCCCGAATTCGTCCCAACGTTGGACCCAATTAGATCACATCGCTATCAGCCACCGATGGAAGGGCTCGATAGAAGACTGTCGCTCATTCTAGGGCACATGTTTCGATTCAGATCATGCTCTAGTGCGAGCACGTATCTGTCTGCGACTTACTGGACGTAGGAAAGACACTGCAGGGAAGCCTCTAAGGGTTCTACTTAATGATAGGCAAGCTAAGAATATATTTCAGGAACAACTGGAAAAACAGTTAGACAGCCATGTAAGTTGTGCCCACCCCGAGGGAGCGTGGAATGACATCCGAAAAGCTGTAGAAACAGCAGTGATATCCGCTAGTAAGGTAAACCATAAGGTCAGGGAGAAACAATGGATCTCGGCAGCATCTACCGCACTGATAGACGCTCGAAAACTCATCCCACCTGGCTCTGAACATAACGAAGAGCGGAGTCAGCTTAAGCGAAGGCTAATAAGAAGCCTACGCAATGATCGTGAACAGTGGTGGGTAGGGAAAGCAAGAGAGATGGAAAAGGCATCGGCAATAGGTAACAGCAGACAGCTATTCAGACTTATTAAAGAAACCGGCATTAGGAACCCAACTATTAGCGAAACTACCCCAGACAAAGACGGGCATATTATTCATTCTCAATCCAGGAGATTGGATCGATTGGCAGAACACTTTAGGGATCAGTTCAACTGGCCTTCAGCCACACTTCGGTTTCCCACGATACCCAGTCAACCTGAATGGCAAATTGAGGTAAGTCCTCCAACTCTCTACGAGGTTGAAAAAGCTATAGGAAATCTAAAGCGAGGGAGAGCCGCAGGCCTTGACAGGTTTACCCCTGAAATTTTTAAGGATGGTGGTCCAGTACTAGCAGTGAGATTGACTGAGGTCTTAGGTAGAATCGGGGAACTGGACGTAATTCCATCTGACTGGTCCCAATCACTGATTGTGCCAGTCTATAAGAAAGGACAAAAGTCCTCCTGTGACAATCACAGAGGAATCAGATTGACTAATATAGTGTCTAAAATATTAGCTTCAGTAATACTTGGACGCCTAAAGAAAGCTCGCGGAGAGCAGACTAGAGAAAACCAGGTTGGTTTCTAACCTGGACGTGGTTGCATAGACCAGATATTCACTCTACGTTAGGTCCTAGAACATAGACACAAATTCAGACGTCCCACAATAGTAGTATTTCTTGACCTTAAGGCGGCATTTGAATCCGTTGATCGTGAGGTTCTATGGCAGTGTTTGTCAGTGAAAGGAGTACCAAAGAAGTACATTAACCTCATAAAGGCTCTCTACTCGAACACAACTGGTCGAGTTAGAGCCTATGGCGAACTGTCATCAGAATTGATTACCTCAAGTGGTGTTCGTCAGGGCTGTCCACTCTCCCCATTCTTGTTTAACTTTGTCGTTGACATGCTTTTAGAGGTATCACTTTCATCATCTCAATCTCCTGGAGTTGAACTTTTACCAGGAGGCTCACTTGTTGACTTAGAATACGCCGACGACATAATTTTACTCGGTGAAGACGCTGACAACATTCAGAGTCTTCTGACCACTATAAGCTACTATGCAGGCATGTTCGGGATGCGATTCTCTCCCTCGAAGTGCAAAGTGTTACTTCAGGATTGGGTTGCATCGACACCTGAACTAATGATAGGGAGTGAAGTAGTTGAGCGTGTAGACCACTTCACTTATCTTGGGAGTCTCATCAGCCCTTGTGGTCTGGTGTGTGACGAAATCTCAGCACGGATACAGAAGGCTCGTCCAGCTTTCGCCAACTTGCGTCATTTATGGCGTAGGCGAGATATCCGTCTAGCAACCAAAGGACGGGTTTACTGTGCAGCAGTTCGTTCCGTCCTACTTTATGGCAGTGAAACATGGCTGATAAGAGTAGAGGATATTCGTAGGCTACTAGTATTCGATCATAGGTGTCTTCGAAACATTGATCGTATATCCTGGGACCATCGGGTAAGTAATGCAGGTCGATGGCAAATCGATTGATGAAGTAGTGAATCTTCATCAGTTGAGATGGCTGGGGCATGTGTTACGTATGCCCAACCACCGACTGCCCGGACGTTCAATGCTTTATAGTGTAGGAGTATGTTGGAAGAAAGCTAGGGGCGGCCAGACCAAAACATGGCATAAATCCATGAAGTCACTGACAATTGGACTGAGCCATGTTGGTAGGTGTAGACTACCTGGTTGGGATTCGCGAGATTATAGCAACCGATGGTTAGAGACCTTGAATGACATGGCTCAAAATCGTTTGCAATGGCGAAGGTGTATCCACTCTTTGTGTTCTCCCAAATTCTAATCTTCTGAATTATTTGTGTCCTTTTCCTTTTTCTCTTTCCAAATTTATTTCACTGTATTATACTCCTTGAATAACATCTTCAAACCCTTATCTTTCACATACTACTTATACTCTTACTACTTCTACCACTATGGGATTTGAATCGACAACTTCATCTCTGTGCTAATGTGGTATGGCAACTCGAACTGATGTACGTACGTACGAAGTTCTACGTTGTAACTGACTGACTGGTTGTACTCTATAGCGTACACACTATCCAAATAGCACCTAATCAGCCACCGATAAACTTTGGTAAGTATATTGTACACTCAATGCAATTGTAGTATGCAGTACTTATATAACACAATCAACCTTTGGTTGTCAATATTTAGAGGCAGTCTAGAATTTCACATAAATTCTTGCGTGAGTGACATTAGTGTTATGTCAGATAATATCTACCTTCACATAGATAAATCCAGAGTAGTATCTCTGCGTTTGTCATCATAGTTTGAATCTAAACTAAAGCAGTCTTCCTCTATGTTTCTGACACCTAGTTGACTTGAGCTAAAGACGTTTGAAAATCTTATGCTCGATAGTTTTCTTTATATAATTAATATTATGCTTAAAAATGTATATCTAGTAGAGAAATCCAGCAACGTAGTATGCTTCCATTAGTACCTATCTTTAGACCAAGTTAATCCTTAAGTGTTACGATATTTCTCATCTTAATCAGTTGTGAACTTTGATAGACAACAAGTACTAATTTCAGAATGCTGACTGGAACAGCTGGAAAATTACTCATGGGCGGCATGTTCACATTTATGTCTCATGTGCAATCAAGGCTTATTTTAAATTAAGATACCAAATCTTCTATAATCATGAGTTAAAATAGACTAATTAGAGTTTTACGAAGCAATTTATTTTTTAGCTTTTTATAACTCCACTTCAAATTTTTACACAAATACCCACAGTCATTAGGAAAAAACAGTTAACACACAAACCTAAAAACTGAATTCATTTCATTCTATGTTAACCTGATAAGCTAATTACTTGAACTGTCATCAATTTTGACAGAATCGATCTGAATAGACGCATAATACCGCAGACGTTTTGACCGAAGTTAGAAAAACACCAAATAAATATAATAACTATTTATTACTATCACTGCACACATAAGCTGTATGCGATCATGCAAACATTTGTGGTTGATTTCATAAATCCTGCATCCCATAATCCACACAGAAATCTGGAAACGGAAAATATGTCTAATTATATCACTTTTAGTGGTGTGAGATATCCATCTTTCACCAGCCCCAATAAACATGAAACTTAGGTTCAGAAGCTACATTATGGTACCCCCTCTAACTATTTAAAACCTTACTCATAAAGAAATTGCAAACTCAAAAGTTTATTCATGAACAAATCATTTTTGATGACTCTTATCTTTATCTGCCTCAACCAACATATACAATTTATTTTCACAGTTGAATTCACGAGTCGATCTAAACTAGACCATTATTGAAAACCTGGAAGTACTGGAAGGCCGTTTCACCTTAGTATGGGACTCCTCAGCATTGCACATCCATGATCCCGCTTCCAGGTTTTTACTTGTGGTCTAGCTTAGATATACTAGTGAATTCAACTGTGAAAATACTACAATTTCCACTAATCCCCATACTGATAAATAAATTAGTAAATGAAACCCACTAACACAGCTCTTAATTATTCACTGAAATCTTTATACAAAATAAACTCACCTTCATAATTGTATGAAATTCACTGGCAATCTGATCAGCATCTTCAATGTCCAAGTTTGTTAGCTCATCATCGTGTGTATTAATTTTATTCAGACGTAAATATTCATTATATGCATAAGTGGCTAAACCAGCTGCATCAAATTTATGCAGACATTTATAATTTTCACGAACCTCCTATTGTGAACAGTGGATTAATTGAAGCATACGTATGTATTGAAAAGAAAAATGGTATGATAAAATAGATGGTTATTAAATTGTGTCTTACATATGGTCAGTTTATCGATCAAACTAAATAGATTTATTCTAAATAATGGTCAAATACATACACATTTATACTTCAATTAATAGAAGAAAAAAAACAAAAAAAACTTAATCTTTCTATCCCAAGCAGGTTTCTATGGGGTCTGATTATTTATTACTTATTTTCTTCGCATATGTGTGTACAAAAGAAAGCGGACTGATGATTATGTTCCAGTTCAACGATTTTTGATTTTATCAATAGTCGATATTTGTTTACTAAACATTAGTAGAAAAACCTGAAAATGGTAAACAACGGTTTCAAATCAATTCAGTACAAACTTTTCTCTTTTTTATTTACATTATATCACATTAATCGTTATTCTTATAGTTGGTTACAGATTTTGTAAAACTATGAATAACGATGAAGTATTTCAGTTGGTTACCACCCCCATCAAATAATGCTAGTAGTAATGATAAGAGTTTAATTTGTTAACGAATAATCTATTTTTAAAGTTGATTAATTATAATCGAATGAGTACCGAGTAGGCTATGACGTCTGGGGCTGATTAACAAACTCAGTTATATAAAAATATACAGGAAACTGAAGTATAAAACAGAAACAAATTTCCAGTATGTTAGTAGATTCCTTTAATGCAAAATTTATTGATTAGAAAGATTGATCATGAAAACGAGGGTTATTAGTCAACTATCTAGTCTTCTTACTGTCTAGTCAATATCTGTGTAAATGAAAACAACTTATCTTCCAATTCTATTTTAGATGCACATATGCAAACAAAGACTGATCCAAATTCATTCCTGCATATTGACAAAATGATAAACCTTTGCTGGTAATGATGTAAATATCACACCCTTTGACCAAGTTGGTGAGAACCTAGACTCAATAGCTTAGTAGATAAAGAGTGAACGTTAATTTCTAGTCCCCATATGACCATCAATGCTGGGATGTGAGTACATCTAGATGACGAGTCTCAACTAGCACAAAATGTATGTTACTGATTTCACTGCTAATCAATCATACTCCATTTTTTTTACAAACCGTATTTTAGATGTCTCATTGCTAAATGCATAGAAACAAACACAGAATTCCATTAATGAACAGAAGGTAATCTCAGATCACTTGACAAATATCTGTGATTACTTTCGTCTTTAACTTATCTCTAAAATGTAGAAGAATTGCTGAATCAATACCATATATTATCACTGATATTGTAGTGAACGAGAACACAGATGGGGACAACCAATGTATTTTAATAAGAAATTACAGAGTTCTTAAGTCAAATATGAAAACCATACGTTCTATATTTTATTTGCAGATCCTCCATCAATTGTTTCAAACTTCATCGTTCCTTCATTGCCAAAACAATTATTCACTGTTCCCGTTCTCTTCATTTCTATCTTCCAGACCTTCTGCTGCCAAGCCTCCCACTTCTGATTGGTGTTATATGCTACTTATGTCGACAGACTAAGAACCTCATTTCCACATGGAGTAGGCGATGACGTTGTCGTCCAGAACGACAATTAGAGCTTCACCACTAATCTATTCATCTCAGAGAACTTAAGATCACTAAAATTTTATTGATTATGATGTTGGCCAAGTTAGAGGATATTTACGTCAAAGTCTATTGGATTATTAGTTACAAGATAACCAGAAAAAGTTAAAATCATAAAGCTCGATCCACATATCAGAAAAATGAATATTTTTGAATATTATATATATATATAACAGTAGACTAGTTCAGTTAACTTTAATTTTTAGTATACAATGAACTGTCTAGAGTTATCTACGTTGGTAGTCATAAAATCAATACTAGTGGGAATACTTCATCAACTTCATTTTCATTCACGCACACAAAGAAAAAGTGAAGAGTTTTCTATTTATTGAAGAACCTCGGTTAGCGTCTATCAAATGGGTATAACGTAGAGCAGACAGAATTACAGAAGCATAAAGCCAAGTAAAGGTATATTGTTATATTTATGGGTTTGATTAAAGAAAACCTCAGTACAAATGTGAAGTGCCGTCTTGTCTTTTGTCAACCTACGTTAATTAAGTGAGTTTGTTTTATGTTATAACTATAGGAAATGACTTTTGAAAGTGGCGCCCAATTATTCCAATCAGTCAGAAGGAAAGCCCTCACCAGTTTCCAGTATAGTTTAATTCACAAATCAAAAACAGTTATTTTACAATGCAATTATTATGAGTAGTATGGGGAATTTATGGAGATCGGTGAATTTTCATACTTTAAGTCATGTACTGATCTTAGTTAAACAACTATTAAAGTCCACGTGCTGGAGGTCCGGGGTTCAATCCCTGGTGGGGTGATGAATGCCAACTACTGAGGAGTCTTACACTAGGACATAATTATTGTCGCCTAGAAGTGAAGTTTTAGTCATTCTTAACATATTGAATCCGATCCAATATTATCTGTTTACTTCATTGTGTCTTAAGATTCAGAATAATTTCAGTTATGCATTACATGACTAAATATTGATTGATTCACTGACTTTCAACCAATACACGCATCATTTATTCAATTAATCAAAACACACGTTTCGTCCCATCACTTACTGAACACAAATCATTTGTGCATCATTCTTATTTACAAACTGATCCATTTGAATTGGTAATAACTAGTAGTTATCTACAATTTCCTAAATGATAGTTATTCTATCAGATTCTGAAACACACACACATTGTCTATGTGAATTTTTAGAAAAAGAATAAATCTAATGTAAAGACAGGTTGAATGTTGCGTGTGACCTTGAGCCCTAGAAATTAAAAGAATGTTATCTTAGATTATTTTTTAACAGTTTTACTTGCTCGTAAATCTTTTTGATAAAATCTCCGAGTGATTTCATTTGTAAACGAAAGTGGGACCAAATTTTTGATCTGCAGAAAAAAAGAAAAAAATCATTGAAATGTTTCTGATAGTCGCTGTTGTTGAATAGCGTATTGGTCTCTTCAATCAGTACCCATGAACAATCAAAATTATAATAGTTGGAGAGATGATATTATTTTATTGTGAATATGTGTCGTTGGGTAATTAAACTAATGGAATGTGAACCACTACTCGTTTAGGTATCCATTGCTTGCTCACTTGGTTTCTGGTTAGCGTACGGCTTTATTGGAGTCCGTTAAATCAGATAAGATTTCCGAAAACCTTTGAAATTAATATAGGTTCGTTCAAATGGTTTTCCTAACTGAGAGTGAACCTTTTCTGTGGTGGACTGTAGGAGCTCTGCTTGTGTAAATGCACTCTACACATATGCTCAGATTGAGGGGAGAAATTGTTAGATCAGCACTATATAAATTCCCTATCATTCAGTGAAGAATAAAATTCATTGAATAGTTATTCTTTAGTTGTTCTAATTTAGGCACTCATCAGCAGGAACCATGTAAAATTTCCAAACATTCATCCAGTGACTAATCTGCTGAAAAATCTGTTCTAGGTTTCAATACGGAGTTCAGTATCCTGGATTCTATCAGGTCTAATCACCTAATGATGATATGTGCATAAAAAGTTATTTAACCAGTGAGAATATGAATCATTGTAGCTGCATAACCTGAGAATGATAATTTACTATCCATAAAGCTTGTTGTTTCAGAGTCTCATGCTGACGGAATGGTAAATGAACAATTATAGTTCAACACCAGCCTGTTGTACTAAAAATAGGACTCCTTTTAACTGTTACATATCCTAACAAAAATAATTGTTTTCAAAAGGATATCCTTCTTCATCTGTACTCTGAGTAACTGAGTGAGTGAGTGAGAGACCTTACCTTATTCACCGTATATCCAGTAACTAGAATTAACATGATATTCATTGTTACAAGACAAAAGCTTGATAAACCAACGTAAAGGAATTCCAAAGGAGCATTGCAATGATTTCTCATATAGATAAATTCGTATTGTCGAATCCATGGATATGTACAATAATGCAATGTAGCTGTAACATTCGACTCCACATCTGTTGTTGTTTCATACTAAAAAACGCAGAAAAAATATCATTAACAACGAAACAGTGAACATTTGCTCTAGAAATAAAACCGTTTGTTAACAGAACAAAGTCACTAGGTGAAACGATTTCAAAAGTATGTGTATATTGTAAGGGTATGTGTGTATATAAGTTGATTGACATTTTTATTTTTAAAAAAAATAAAACATTTAATCGCTTGCATTCACATCTTCCCTGTTACAGTAACTATCGACAAATTCAAATCTAAATATTTCAAACCAAATGAGATTTGCTGCTGTTTACACACACTATGATTATTGTCAGCCGATTAAGCAACCAAAATCGGGAGTTTATACACAAATAGTTGTAGACAAATAATTTATTATTGTTGGTATTAGAGACTTAAAACTATTTATTTACACACACACAATCTATTATTGTTAATATTTACATTATGTAATCTAGTACTGTAATCATTATTATATGATCGCGTTTCTTTTTTGTTCGTACATCCTCACGCAACTAATACTTGAGAAAAATTTCCATACATACTTTTGTACAACCTGATAATAAATTCATTGAAAAGAGATCCCTTCTCTGAACTTCGTGAATTTAATATCTAAATGGGAATTATATGACTATTTCTAGTCTTCGTTGTTTCATTATAAATTATTACTTTCATAATAAGCAACTGATTTTGCGGCCGCCATCTCTTATCATGTTTTTCTCTGCTGTAACCAACAGTTATAGATCTGATCAAATCTTATATATATATAGTCCTGTGTCCTATATTCAAGAATTGGAGTGCTGAAGCGCTATTTTTATGTGTCGTCAAAAAAGTGAACAATTACCTCACGTTTTTCCCCGGTGGAGATGGCCAGAAGAGAGAGTAATAACAAATGACCCTAAAAAACAATGTAATAGAAACAGTGGCGTATTAAGGGGCTTCATCTAGAGGATTCTGAAGGGATGCTAACCATAGTAATGAAAAACTTTACGCTATCCAAAGTATTTATCACTATCTGAACTTAATGATTAATAGTCGGAATTAAAAGGAACTTTGAACTATTACCAAATTTGGGCTGAAGGCTAGATTAGGATTATCAGTTCAGTTCATTGTAAAATAATTAAAAATGGAAACAACGTTTAACTGGGACAGGACAAACTGCTGGTCATATGTAGAGAAATTCGAATACTTCACTCCTACCTGAAGTTTCTACTGATTTTATTGAAAAAACAATGAAAGCTTCACGACTAAACCATCCAGCCCAGAGAACGAAACTCCACCAAAATCATCCACCTGTGTTACAAACCTCTACTAACCCGAATTTAAGTTTTACTGAGTATTAAGGTTACGGGCTAATTCTTTGAATATAGTAATAATAATATTGATGATGATTGTTATATCCTAGTGAAGACATAAGTACAGGTAACTTCCGGAAACTATTAATGGACTATTATTGTATACATATTTTTATCGTATAACTGTTTAGTAACTAGATTATGGATATCTATATTCATCTTATTATAAGCTTCATTTTGACCTATAAACTATTATTATACGATTTACTGTCCCCAAATTATGTTCAGTTTATTGATTACTGTCTCCCACGTTCACTTGATCTTGCACAAATATTATTTTCTATTTTATGGTGTGCTGAGGTCTGTCTGTCTAGTATATAAACAGAGTATGCTTGAAATAAATGATTCGCATAACAGAAGCTGTGATTGGTGTTTTGGTCTCAATTGGATGGGCTAGGCGAACAAGGTACCAATGAGGACGTTAGACTACTCATACCGATTGAACGTCATTGATTTAGCACAGTGCTAAGATTGGGGAAGTCGTATTCCGATTGGTGGATAAATCACATGGTAAAAAGTCGGACATAAAACACAACAAATTGGCAACGGCCTTCTTTTTTAAATTCATAACAATGATAATAATGGTCTAGAAACAACAGACTGACTTACGCAGTTAACTGCTGGCGGTAACAATGAAAGCGATATCGCATTCCCAATTAAAGCTGATAGTCGCTTACTTAGTATGGCGAAAGAAACACTAACGCCAGAGAATGCTGCTACAAGCATTGATCCAATAAAAGACCTTAGTTCACCCCTAGAATCATACAAAAATAAGAGCAAGTGAAATTACTTCAGTGTAAAATAAGGACATTTCTAACTAGGACTTATTCCATTGGATTTAAATATGTCTGTGAAATTTAAATAATAATCCACAAATGGATCCTAGAGGTTACCATTCTTAGTCCCGGTTATGATAGGTGTGTTACCTATATGTCGGACAGCTCAAAACATTTTACTCTTTTAATTTAACCAAACACTCGTCAAAAGTTATCGCACACACATAAAAGTAACCGAGGCATAAAAGACACAAAACGGTGGTTAGAAAGCAACACATGATTGTGGGCAAGGAACTTAATGAGTCAAGTATATTAAATCAATCATCACCAAACACTAAGGACAAATTATACTACAGAATGACTAACTTGACAACTAAATTCATCTCTGATCGTTATTATCATCTGGCATTACCTTGTTCGTGATTTGTTTCGAGAAGAAATGCTCTACTGGTGAATTCCATACAAAAAAATGACAAACTAATTTACCAGCTCAAGTTGTAAGTAGTTCAAACAGAAAGTAAAATGAGTACTTACAAAATTAAAAAGACGATCACGAAAATAACTAAAAACAGACGATGGGTGAATACATATTAGGGGATAAAAATATTGTTCATGTTTGGGAGCAAGAAGCAATAAATAAATATGTAAAGTACAAACAAATTTTAAATGACACCACTTTAGATCAATAACATCCATTGTTTACTATTTTATAGATCATTTATCGGTAAAACAACATAATTCTTAGTATTGGCCAAAACAACAGTTAATCGATCAATTAACTGATGTCACATGTCATTCCGACCAATATGACATGACACTTGTAAACATGAACCTAGGTGTTTCGATCATTATACGCTTGACACAACTGAAACAATTTTATTGGTTATGATCGCGTATTAGTGAATTACAACAGAACAGTTCTGGGCAAAACATAAATAAACCAGGATATCATAAACGAGTAAAACGCTAACAGAATTAGTGTGAAAAGGGAATAAACACAAAGAGCATTCACATCAACATCTTTTTTTTACAACAGCAGTAAGCGCATTGGAAATGTAAAGTAAATATCAATATAAAGTTGTAAACCTATACCCTTCTTTCGGTCTTTTCATTAATAATGAGGTTTTATCAACAGAACGTGAAGCAGGTTAATTTTCATTGTCAATATTCATTATTTTAATAAAAAATGGTGTTAGTTGAAGGGATCTTGCAGAGATTGATTTTCCTTGTGGTTTGTACTCGTCACAATATGATCTCACTTAGGGTACAATCACCTAAAAATATCCGTTATTATAAGGGGACTGTGAAGATTATGGAATTTAAGAATTCAACGATCGTCACAAATGTTCATTTTATCAGTAATAATAATAATAATGTGTCGAAATTGTGACGAGTTTCAAGATGTTAATACTGGAGTCCTTCCTAATGAGAAGTCATGACTAATGGTGTTCAACCATGTCAAGTGTGATGCAGTTACCCATCAATAACATTGGGAGATGGACATGGTTTATTAAGAATTGATTGACGATATACGTGTACACTATTGAATGCCGACTCAGTGATCTGATGGTCAAGCGTTCATGTGATAAGTGAAGATGTAAAATACTAGGCCTGAATAAAGATCAACAACGTACAAAACAGTGGCTATCCAGAGTTATTATGAACAATGTGAACCCAAACGCTTCAATAAAGGCATATCCAACTGAGACCATTAATAGGGCTAAATGCTCTTCCTGCATTCCACTGTCATGCACTATCCAACTTACAAAAACGCTTTTATTAATTGAGAAAATAAAAAGCAGATTATGGGCATGAACTGACTAACCTTTGAACCATCTCGTTTGTGGGATATGGTGTAACATCTTGGAAAGCACTAATTGCATGTGCCACATAACCGAACGTTAGTCCTAATGAAAAAAAGTGTGAAAGAAAAATGAAAACAAATTTACCCATTTGTCAATTATATGACACAATCAAATTTTCCATAATTAAAGTTAAAATTCATTAATCATTATAAACATATTGAAAAGTGGATTAACAATAACTAAATGAACTGTTTTGTTTGATCATTGCAAACATGTCAGTAGTGAAACAATTTTCATCAATAGTGTTGAATGCTTCTCGTGTTATGCCGTAAAATGATCGAAACTGAAATTGTGCCACTATTGTCTAGTATTCGTTGGTTTTTCACTGGTATCCAAATACAATTGATCTGCAATGAATGCAACCTACAAAAAGGTGAAGTATCAATTTATCCCAATCATGATAACACAGAAGACAATTACAATTAAACTTGTTCAGAACAATCAATATTCTGATAAACTTGATTCTAATTAGAGCTTTGTATTTAATTAATTACAAGTCTAAATTTTGAAACTCTTAAGAAAGGTATATACATTACAAGTATAATCTAAAAATAGGCTCACTCTTATCTTAATCCCTTGTCAAAAAACATGTTTATGAGTGCACTGAGTATTGACAAAAAATGGGAATATATAATTTTCATGTTTTTAAAAATAAAAAACAAAAGACATTCTTAATAATAAATATATATTTTTATATCCCAATGAGTAGAAAAATTGTATTTCTGACGTTTCGTGACTTATTGTAAGCCACTTCTTCAGAGTTTAAAACTTGTGGTAACTTAATGTCGGTTATTTATTTGCACTGAAGAAGTGGCCTACATTAAGTCACGAAACTTCAGAAATGTAATTTTTCTACTCATCGGGATATTAGAAAAAAATATTTATTATTAACTCTCTATCCAATGCTCAATTTATTTGGAACTATCAAGTCCAACCTTGGTAGTGATACTTAAAAAGACATTCTTATTTAACAAGACTTTTTGATGCTGTCTAAATTGAATAGTTGGTGTTTTCCAGTACTGGGCGAATTTCAATTTGATCCCAGCGAATAGAAGTACGCAAAAGTGTTGAAGATCACTGTAGTCGACATGATATATATCTTTGTAATAAATAGAGATTGAGCAAAGCTGTTATCAATAAACACACACACAACGATTGTTCAACTATTCAATTACAAAGACGAACAAGCTGATAGAAACCATTAGTAATAGTTAGATTCTTTCATTTGAACATTTATGAGACTAGTAAACTGTTGTCACTATAAACCCACTAGTATTTTGAAATAAATCTCATTATTAGGTTGCTCGAGTTTTATAATTTTAGATATCAAATGACTATGTGCATTAATAACTATTTACGGATAAAACAATATAAATGAACTGTCGAAGCCAAAACAATTCGTGAGATATACTTGTCTTGACTTACCAATCATAACACAGATGATTAGTGAAATCGATGTGTTGCGAATACCCTTAGTTGTCATATTACGATCACGTAAATTCAAACCAAAAAGAATGCACATGATTGGATCCTAGAAATAAAATAAAACGTTAGTCAGGAATAGAGTTAGAATGAGCATGAAGATAATTTTCATCATGAAACGTCAACAGTTGAAGAACTGTTGTAAATCATGAAGGATTAGTTACTTTTTTTGTCTTTGAATTAGAGATTGTTGACTATGTACGTCAAATTTTGGTATATTTTAAGTACTAATAATACTTTTCCTCATTTGTCTTAGCTCATTCAATAATATATATGTAGGAAAGAGAGAGAACATCAAACCACTACAGCATAAAATTTAAGCAAGAAAAAACTAAGGATCGTAAGGATAGCGTTACCGGACAGACATAAAACATTTGTTATCAATCATAAATATTTGTTAGCATAAAGGGAGTATGGAGATTATGGAATTTAAAAATTCAACGATCGTCACAAATGTTCAGTTTTAACAGTAATAATAATAATAATGTGTCGAAATTGTGACGAGTTTCAAGATATCAATACTGGAGTCCTTCCTAATGAGAAGTCATGACTAATGGTGTTCAACCATGTCAAGTGTGATGCAGTTACCCATCAATAACATTGGGAGATGGACATGGTTTATTAAGAATTGATTGACGATATACGTGTACACTATTGAATGCCGACTCAGTGATCTGATGGTTAAGCGTTCGTCTAGAGACCTGAATTTCTTGAATTCACTGTCTGTTAGGGTTGTGTATGAAAACTAGTGAGTAGTTCTATACTAAGATGAAGGGGATATCCAGCGCTCCTTAATCTTTATCGTTAATCTAATCAAGGTAAGGTCGTGATGTGAACTATAAAGTTGTCAACAATTAGTCATATAAAGCCACATAGCAATCATTTTTCTAGTTATGATATTCTATCATGTAATAATAGCAATTATTATTATTATTATTACTGCTATTATCATTATAATACATTTACCATTAGTGATAGAAATAACGATCTGTTTATTCTAAGGAACTCATCTCCTTTACTAGTATCTAAGATAATATGACTAAATAAACGTAACACAACACAAGCAATTAGCTCAACTGAGCTATTGAAATGCTTTTTGATAAAGGGGAAAACATCGACATTGACATGAAAGTCAAAGCATAAAGCACCAAACACTACTAATGAGCGGGTGTAATGTTCATTTATTTATTACCAAAATTTTAAGAAATAAATTCAATATTCTATGTGTTGTTAGCTGAAGAAAACAGCTAATGACTTTGATCAAATGCGATTTGTATGGAATAAGTAAGTATTAACTTTTAGGCTCTTAATTTTTTTCTTACTTTATTGATGAGTAATTGAGCTTTCATGAGTGATCTCTTGACAATGCTATGATATGTTCATTCAGTTCATATAGTGCTATGCGAATCAACTCATAAGGCTAAATTATAAACATTGTAGCATATAACGTTCCTAAAATCGAAATCATGAGTCAATTGAAGCTAGACCACCATCGAAAACCTGTAAGCACTGGACGGCCGTTTCGTCCTATTATGGGACTCCTCAGCAGTGCTCACCCAGGATCCCGCACTCGCGAGATTCGAACCCAGGACCTACCAGTTACGAGCCACAGCCCTCAACCGATAGACCACTGAGCCGGCATCCAACGGTGTTAATGTCTAACTTCAACTGATCCACGAATTATGAGCGACACTTCACCAATTGACTTCAGTGAGTTGTGCGCACTGCTGAGGAGTCCCATAATAGGACGAAACGGCGGTCCAGTCCTTCCAGGTTTTCGATGGTGGTCTAGCTTCAATTGACTGATGATTTCAACTTTGAAATATACTAAAATCTCCACAAATCCCCTTCTGTTCCTAAAATCACTGAAAAATTCAGTCTCACATTGATCACCAAATAAATTAAGCATTAATATCTTTAGACAATGTTTCCAATAGCAACAACAAGTAACTGTAAATCTTATTCTTATTATAGATTGTCGATATAAATCAATAAGGACGAGACAGTTTCCCATTTTCAACCTTATTCCATTTCAAGCTGCTTCAGAAAAGCTATTTAGTTGAACAGAATGGATGACCCATTGCTAGTTAAACTACTTCGATAAATTATGGAAACGAATATTTTTCAGTCTTACAACATAATACGACAGTTTTTAAAATGATTGCGGGTCATACAGTATGTTTGGGATAAATTTGACGAACACAAAGCCATTAGTTTCATCATATCTATTGTCAGGTATAGTACACCTATATTTATCGAGAGATTACGTTGTGAGAGAAACAGTGTCAAATTTATTCTAAATATATAAGTGGAAGCTATCAGAATACATGGAAAGGGTAATTTATATCATGATGGACCCGGACAGGGATTATGAATGTTTCAACATCATACTTAATACTCTTTGACCATGGTAAGATCAATGAGACTACAAGTTCGTGAGTTATCGAAAAGAACATAGTAGACACTTTGATTACCTTCACATACCAGATTTCAATTGATAATTTCAAGAGGAAATAATGGAAAACCAAGGGATGGAATATAATCTCTTGGGCGACGAATGAATATATCATCTACCCGCTTAAAACGTTCCTTGAATGAGAACTTTTATTAACAATCAAACAAGGGAAATAAAGACCAACATTATAAAAAGGATTCAGAACACCATCGAACTATTCTTCGACCATTTTATTTGTCATCCTAATTTAATAATATTCCGTAATAATTTATTTTTCACCGCATTGTTAACTTTACTCATCTTTTAAGTACAGTACCTTTTCAAATAAGCCCCAGGTAATTTCTATTAAATCCAGCTTACTATTCTTTTTCACATTAATAAACCTTTCTCATAAAAGCTTGATAACAGTTCCCCGATTTTGAAAGCTGCAGAGTAGATCAGCTATCGTTTAAAGTGAAATAACTTCCCAAACTCCCTAATTATGCATACCAGATGGATTACAACGAAAAATTTACCTCTGTCTCTCACTTAAAGTAGATGAAACTCCTCTGAAACTAAACTGATAGAGAATAAGTGCGAGGAGAGAATATTGTGTTTAGCATGTCTGCGTGTTTGTTTGTTGAAGTGCAAAATTATGCATCTGCAAAACGAGAGTAAGATACGATAGTGTATATATAGATAACTCCCTCGTCAACCCCATAGTCCACAGTTTGAAAATTTTTCTTTGTATATCAAGTTTGTCCATAGAATTAATGTTTGAAAATTTCAAATATTAAGTTAGTAACCTGATTAATGACTTTTTCACTAACATTCGAATAAAGAAAAGAACAATAATTTTAGCTACCATGCGGCTATAACCGGGCTTCCCTCTGTGTTTTAATTTGTTTCTTTCTTAATGTTATTGTCAAAACATTGTCTTTCCTTTCTGTTGTAATTTTAAGCTTGGAAGCCTGAACCGAGATAACAGGAGTTGTGGAGAAAGACAAGATTTTGGAGTTTTACAACAATGGCTGACCATTGAAAACAAGAAAGCACTAAACGTCTGTTTCATCTCAGTATGGGACTAGTGAATGATGTGCATCCACAATCCTAGGTAATAACTATAGAAGGTTCTACTTTTTTTCTCATCCTGTATGTTACACTCGTCAACTATTGTTAAAACAGTCAAACAATCCAGATATTATAATCATAACGATTCTCTAGTTGTTTTAGTAACAGTTGAAAAAAGTTACTTTGAAACGTATATTTATGACTTTTGGTAGTAATTGATTAGTAATTGATCAAATGAGAACCGATAAGAAATATACAGCCTAGACTATTGGAGTAATAACATCAGTTTATGGATTATAAATAGGGAACACATAAAAATATAAACATGTTGCATAAATAATAAAATAATGCACTTGAGAGAACACAACAACTCAGTAAATTCTGCATGGCATTAAGCAAAATTTGAAGAAATTTGAAAAAACTCTGATCATCTGATTGATTCTCAGTTTATTAGGGGTCATTTGAATTCTGTTATTTTTTAGAATAAATTAAAACAGCATATACAATGAGAGTGTGTTTGAATTAAAGTAGTGAAATTTGAAAACTCATTTTAAATTTAATGTAGCCACTAAGCATAAGTATGCTTGATCACTTGACTCCAATTCATTTGGTTATTTGTTCAAGTGCATACTTTTTTGAAAGTAGAAAACGTTTATGAGACCATAGAAAAAAATGGAAATCAGTTTAACACCTTAAACGGTTTCTTGTCATAGATTTCTCTCTCCCCTTCTCTTATGTATTTCAAATGAACTTTTCCCGCTACTAAGAGGACAACTGATAAGTCGTTGTTGTTGCAAATAAGATAAAACACAAATAAGTTGATATTCAATGAAAGTTTTACTACATCTTCCGTTAAATAATTTCTATTGATGAAATAGTTTAGTGAAACAATATGTACTGGTAACGCTTTTCGGAAACGAACCTATGAATCAGCAAACTGTTCAGTGTGTTACAGTCTTCGAACTAATGAAGACGATTTTACCGAATATAACGTAGTTATTGGTATTTTACAGTTCATTTCCTAAATCCATACATATTTCTACCAACATAGAATATATTTGTAGTTATATATCATCAACCTTGACTTATTATTTTCACCAAGTATTTTTGCATTGAGAAAACGAAATTCATCGTGAAATATACTTTCTTAAGACCACAAAAGTTTTGAAAATGATAAAACCTTGAGTGATCACGGAGCTTCCGTTTGGTTTCTTATTCACAATGGTTTGTAGTGGAAGCTTTTATATCGAACGAAGTTAAATATCGTCTATGCTTCATTATTCCTCAGTTATGGCGACTCAGTAACTCCGCCTGGAGCCTCTCTGGGGATACTGTCGGTCCCAAGCTCGGGTAAAGGAGGAGGGTTGGGCATGGCGTTACCAACCCCATCCTGTAGAAAACTAATTCGCTAAAAAAACGCTAACCAGAAAAATGATTCAAACCATTTAAACTTTGCCCTGGCAGTTAGAAGATCTTTAGTTAGAAGAGTTATGACACCTCATGGTGAAAGCCGAGTTCTTTCGGAAGCCGCGAGGTCGATGCATCTTCTGACAACCAGAGCAACCATTAAATTAACTATATGGAATGTTCGTACAATGTGGGAAACTGGTAGAGTCTTCCGAATTACTGCAGAAATGAGGAAACACAACCTGGGGGTGCTTGGGATCAGTGAAACACATTGGACGCAGGTTGGACAACAACGACTAACTTCAGGAGAGCTTCTGTAACACTCCGACTATGAAGAGGAAAATGCCCCACATACACAAAGAGTTGCATTTATGCTGTCCAAACAAGCACAAAATGCACTTATTGGATGGGAATCTCATGGACCAAGGGTCATGAAAGCCTCCTTCAAAACAAAGAAAGAAGGCATTACAATGGACGTCATACAATGCTATGCGCCTAACAACGACTATAATGAAGAAGTCAAGGATCGATTCTATGATAGTCTGCAGTCAATCGTTGAGAAATGTCCAAAAAAAGACTTGACCATTATGATGGGAGACGTAAATGCCAAGGATGGAATGGACAACACTGGATACGAAGACATCATAGGCGACACTATATTCCCACATAAACGTATTCACAAAACCACATGGACTTCACTGGATCACACTACACAGAACCAAATCGACCATATCTGCATCAACAAAAAGTTCAGGAGGACGATGGAGGATGTGAGAACCAGTAGAGGAGCTGATATAGCATCAGATCATCATTTGCTGGTCGCCAAGATGAAATTAAAATTTAGGAAGCACTGGACAACGGGGCAGACGACATCACAAAAGTTTAATACGGCTTTTCTTCGGGATATTGACAAAATTAACAAATTCAAGATAGCCCTAATAGGGAAAAGCAAGATTCTCCCATACAACACAACATGCATCAATCGAATCACACTTGACGGAGAAGCTTTGGAGGATGTGAAAACCTTTACATATCTGGGCAGCATTATCGATGAACCCGGTGGATCTGATGCAGATGTAAGGGCTTGGATCAGCAAAGCAAGAGCAGCATATTTACAACTGAAGAACATCTGGAACTCAAAACAATTGTCAACCAACACCAAGATCAGAATTTTCAATATAAATGTCAAGACAGTTCTACTATATGGGGCGGAAACTTGGAGAACTACGAAAGCCATCATCCAGAAGATACAATTGTTTATCAATAGTTGTCTACACAAGATATTTTGGATCCGTTGGCCAGACAATATCAATAACATTCTACTGTGGGAGAGAACAAACCAGATTTCAATGGAGGAAGAAATCTGGAAGAAGCGCTGGAAGTGGATAGGACACATTTTGAGGAAATCACCCAACTGCGTCACAAGACAAGCCCTCACATGGAATCCTCAAGGCCAAGGAAAAAGAGGAAGACTAAAAAACACATTACTCTGAGAAGTGGAAACAGACATTAGAAGAATGAACAAAAAAATGGATAGAACTAGAAAAAACAGAGTGAGTTGGAGAATGCTAGTCGGCGGCCTATACTCCATTGGGAGTAACACGCGTAGGTAAGTATGGCGACTGAGTAAATTTGTATCCCATATATTTTATAACTAAAAATAGTAGATTACATTTATTTCCGGTTAAGTGATGTTTAATGTTGGATTATCTTGCAATAAACTTCAATGTAACCATTCAGATACGGTGTCAACAAGGTTTTATACAGATGTCAGCTAGTCAAAATGGTAAATAGCGACCAACAATGCGTAAATGAATTGGCCTAAATAAGTATGAATTGTCAATACATTGACAAGAAACTTTATAGATTGATATCACGTTACTATAAAGACCTTTAGTAGTCAGAGGCAAAACACATTTAAATCTGTACTTATTTTTCATCTCACTGACATTCAACACACTTAAGTTTACACAATTAAGTGATTTCTTCATTTCTCGGTGTTCAACCTTAGTGCTACAATTGAGGATATTGTTGGTAACTTATCATTATGTAACAGTTCTGTAGTTACATAAATACAAGTGGACTGCCCAAACTTTCTCCTGAACGAAAAGGCAGACCAACAACGATACAGAGGATTTTTGATTAACTGGAAATTGTTGTTTAATACCGCTTCATTTAAATATACCAAAGTAAATTTATGGTTCCAAAGAAGCTGCAAAATGTTGTACATATATATAAATGTGCATGTCAAAACTTTCGAGAACGCAATTATCTAAATTTAGTTAAAATACTGGATGAACAAGTATCAAGAAACCACTCAATTTGTTTTCATAGCATTGTAGACTAAACAAATAGTGAACAAAACCAGAAATTAGTCAACTTATACATAGTATAAACTCATACAGCACTGAACAGCAGTTTTAGCAAACTCATTGTAATACATGATACGTTTAGAACGAAATAAATGATATATATATATATACCTTTGGTCTCTAATTGATCTATCTCTCCACATCCACCCACTGACAGTCCATATTTTGTTAATGAGTTTCACACCCTATGCAGTTTTGCTAATTTCGTATACTCTAAAGAAAAGCTGGTCATTCTATAATGCTACTAGTCCAAAACGCAATTGGTACAATTCGTACGGTGAACCATGCCTAGATATTTGAAAAATGGCCAGTAGAAAAATTATCCGTGAGCCCTATAGGCGAATTAATAAATCCAGGCTCTTTCTTCTTAAAGCAGGTTACTGCAAAGATATTGAGTCCTGTCAGTTAGAATCAACGTAGAAACTGGTACAAATTTGCATTCGTTTAAATTACCATACCATATCACCACAGTGAGACGAAACTATCAGGATACATGTTAGAGTAGTAGAATTAGTAACAGTATTAATAGTAATGGAAAACATTAGGCATAGACGGTATGGTTTGATGAGAAAGAAGGAATTCATGGAATTAAAAGTATAAGATAATTTCAAAACTAAGGATCCAAAAGAAGACAGTATAATGAGTTACTAATAAGTAAACAAATATCAATCAGCAGGGAAAATTAGTATTTTGAGTTATCATTGTTCTGATAAAGTATGTTAGAGTCATGTTGAAATTTTAATCGGGATTCTAGTTCAAAGCCAGACCAACTTATCTCTTTTATTTCATCTTTGATTACATTGACGTGGTAGTTAAATTGTAGACGAAACTAAAACTTCGAGACCATTTTAACTTGACTAATTATCCCGATCATTTTAGAACGAAACTTTATCGAGCAAATATTTGATCTGTATTAAAATTTGATGACCAATTAAAAAAAAAGTTAACTGTAACAGAACTTACCATCAAAGGCGATAATAGCATACTTGCAAATACAACGCCAGCAGAATTGGTCACCAAAGCTATATTCGCCACAATAGCTGCACACAGCAGGAAACATAAATAATTCATATCAAACGATCCACGTTGGTTAATCTCGTTGTAAACCTAAAAATGTATAAACCAAATTAAAAAAACAGGCCCATTTGCCAGTGATTATCGTAATTGAATCGGTTTATTGAGTGATTTTAAAATTATCGAAATCAGTACTTCTCATTTCTAGTTCAGTTAATAGATGATTTGCTTAGTGGACAGAATAAGAGACAATTTCGCTAACGTATATAGTTCAAGATAACATATACTATGGTTCCCACTGATTGTATACAAACATGAAACTAACTTGAATTATTAGATAAACAGTTAAAGACGGAGAGCGGGAAATCATAACATACTAGCGAGCATTTTGAAGAAAATGAGTCAAGAATATATTCGTAAATGAAATCATACAAATCGTTCAATCTGAATGGACCTCAGGAAAACGGTACAGTCAGAAAATGTACATAACATAGACAAAGAATAACACTAAATAGTTTATCTGCCATTTGGTTCATTACATAAATAGATCAAGTTTTTGTCGAGGAGTAAAAAACATAAACCAATCACATTTTTTCACTTTATTAAGCAAAGGCTTAATGGTTCATAATTAGTAGTCGCAAAATACATTAAAGCTCTTTTGTTCTGTGTAAGTCGAAAAGTGTCGCAAAGTTTCACAACTCTGTTAATCAAACAATGGCAGATGTTTTTTCCGAAGTTTCATTATACAATAAACTCATCACACATTATAAACAAGCTGAGCTCCACATTTATTACTGTACGTCCAAAAGACAAAGAGTGAAAACATAAAGAACATTAATCCCTTAATTACTCAGACAAATATCATATTTTTTGTCCAAACACGACATGGACACTAATTGATATCGAAACTGCCATATACATTAATTCACAACAGATAAATCAGGGGATATTAATGCATGTTAAATAATACTAATTTTAGAAATGGGTCAAAGTGAAGACTAACGGATGAGGTCATTGAGAAAAACAAAAAAAATCCTGAAGAAAATTGCTATAAAAAAAAGTGCGTTGGCTAAAACAAAATAGAAGTTTCATTTTAATTTTTCTGCTGTTTCTTCTAAAAGCTCCTCATATCAAATGAATATTGAGATAGTGTTATCTGAAAATGTTCTTAATCGGACAGGATTGTGTGTTGTCCCAGTGGCAATAATTTTAAACTGAATAAAACATGGTATATCAAGTATTATTGGACATTTTAACAATATCATTTGTTGTAGTGCTGTAAAACACTGATTCTAACATTAGTTATGCATGTCCTGACCTTGAAAAAGATTATTGACACTCGTGAGATAGCTCCTTCCATAATTTCCTTAAGTCTCTTTTGAATAAACAAAGCTGAGCACATTGTAAAAAATACTAAGTTAGTCGACCTTATAGGTGATTAGTATCGAGGAGTGAAGAATGGTGTTGAATTTTACCTACTATTTAATTCATTAACTCCTTAATAGTTTCTGTTTGTAAGAAGATAAATATGTGCGGCAAATATAATAATTACATTGCATCCGCACTGTATAAACAAACAAAATATGATGACAAACAACTATAATCAGTCCATGAGGTAAGCTAAAAAATTGAATAATCGCCGCAACCCCTCTACAGTAACTAATAGTGGTTCGTTTACTAGTGACTGATTTCCAAGGGTGGTTACTAGGGTTTTAGTGAGGAGCCGTAAATAGTAGAGCTCAGCCATGTCAAGTGTGATGCAGTTACATATCAATGACATTGTAAGATAGTTGCATATTATTGCGAATCTATTGAAGTTAAACGGTGTACACCACTGGATATCGACTCAGTGATCTCAATGGGCGGCCTGCTTAAACATCTGGGCTACCTGTTCCTCTCATCTATGTATTTCAACAAGTTATCTAATATTGTTTGTTTTAATACATCATTATGGCTATTAAGCACACAACCTATTCAGGTGCGTTTCTGAAAACTGTACAACCTTTCGCTGTAAAGGTTACAAAAGGCTTAATCAGAAATATCGTGTTTGCTGGGAACATGCAGCAAAAAGAATATGCATTATTCATATGTCGATTGACTGAACTGCTGACATCTAACTGGCGATCACTGAATATTTATCATCAGGAGCAACGAAGAAATAAGAAACGTAAACATGTTGAAATACTTTATGCTGAGAATTCGATTTTCTACCAAATAATATAATATTGAATAAAGCTAATAATAATAATAATAATGGTTAGGCGTTCGTCGTGAGACCTGAATGTTTTGGTGTCGTGGATGCGTTCGTATTAGGACGAGATGGTTATCCAGTGCTTTCTAGTTTTGATTGCTTGTTGAATCAGGATGAATTTGTCGTGTAAACTATGAAAGATACAAAAGCTTGAAAAGAAAAGTATAATCTATCAAAAAAGACAAATTTGAGGGAAAATGTGTGTTAGTGGAATCGATAAGAAGAAAATTAATAACAGTCTGGAATTTATCCAGCCCAGAGTGAAACTTAATTCAAGCAAAATAATTGCTACCCACACTCTTGAATTATAAATATTCCGTGATGAAAAATGAAAATAAGTGTTTTGCAGTACACTACTTAAATAAGGGAGTTCCCTATAAACTCCACAATTATTGTACGAATAATCAAGAATGCATATCAGAAAATGTCACTACTTTGAACCGATAGAAAAGAATGTTCTTCAGTTTGCCTTATTAATCACAACTATGATACCATAAATGACATATTTACTTTTATTTATAACGCATTCTCAGTTGAAATGAAGAGTAATCAAACATTTACACTTGTGTGTGATTACATTTTTACTGTCTCTTGAAGAATCGAACCTACATAGGCGTGTCAAACTTTAAAGAATAGTAAAGTCAATCCAGTTACTTACTGGATTACTGACTACGTCTCGTTATATGTTATAATGCTGCTTATAATCAACTTGATTTACCATCGAGCTCTAACACTTCTACACTGAATAGTGATCATTTATAACCGTTTCTCTTACTAGAAACATCCTCAGAAATTTCGAATCTGTATACGTGATTTATTTGGTATCAACTCGAGTATATATAGCGTTTTATTTATATAACAGTTCTGTTTTTAGATAAACAAAAAAATAAGAAAACACAACCCACATAGGCAGCTGAACAAAACACAAATATAATGAGAGAAGAGTTGAAAAGAAAAAAAAGGGTGAGTGAATTGACGACATAAATAAACAAATAACTAAAATTTAATAATTTCGATTATATTTTTGATATTTTTGCAAAGAACTCGTATTCACATAAATAGAAACAGTATATTGATTAAAGAAAATGGCATACCTGAGCAACACACAATCGTGATTTCAGAGTCCCAATAAAGTTTTGAATTGCCGAATAAGATATAACACCGGATTTTCCTCCTCTGAAAATGAAAGGAGGTAAATAATTTAGATAAGACAGATAATTTAAGATAATAATAATCTGACACAAGTAGTTTAATAACATTGATGCTTGTATTACTACTACTGCTACTACTGAACAGTTCAGGTAAATTGATATACTGACAACCAATTTTATAAAGACTAAAAGAAGTAGTGAAACAAACATGCTTTCTTCAAGTTGCCTAATCAGGAAAATTTAATGTTCACAATAAGTGAATCTCTTCTTAATTTATATTCAAGTTTAGTAAACCTTTTTGCAATTCACGGACTGTTTGAGTTTGTGTAATCAGTCATTATTGATTTAAAATCTGGTATAAATGTTGACCGGCCCAAGATACGTCAGCACCTCACATAAATAGAGAGGGAGAAAATTACCAAGATGGGATGAAAATAAAGGACTGAGAGATAATATCAACCCTAATAGAAGTCTAGACATAAGAAATGTAGCTTAAAATGAATGAACCGGATGAAAGGATGGGAAGTTAGGGATGATACTTAATTTAAGTTTTTGAGGAAGATAGAGAATGAGTACAACTGTACCACTGTAATCAACTTTGATTCAAGTTACCCTATATCGCCAACTAGTGATTAAGGTTATTGTGTAGATGTCAGCTAGGAAGTTTGGACATTAGGGATGAAGTAGGCTTTAGAACGCTAAATGCTTCCTATGTTTATACAACCAGAATAACGTATTTGGATTGAGGTCCAATAAAATGTCTTTATGAACAATAAGCAGCCGGTTGACATTAATCACCTTCAACAAGTTTCAGTTAAATACGTGGAACAACATGACTTTCTGTCTAACCTTATGGTTAGAAAAATAACAAATGGTTATCTTGTAGCATTAGTAGGAAATCCAACGTTTCAGGGCGTTTTTTTAAGTATCTTTTATAAATATGAATAAGCAAGGAACCTTTCTGAAGGTAGTTGTAGTAATTGGTTTGCTTAATTAATCAGATTCACTGTTAACTCTGATGTGGGACGCTGATTGTAATAAAAGCAGATTTTACGTTAGTTTTGATTGTGAACTGTAAAATGATGGGAAATCACCAATAACCAAAGTGCGCTAAACAGCTGCTCAGTCCTAGTTTGAAAGTAATCATCAGCACTCATACATCAGGGATCGAATCCAGGGATTTCTGACCTTCATGGTAGTGATACCTATAAACTATTAAGTTAGAATACATATCATAATATCTGTCTCACTCTTCATCCAGATGGATTAAGTTAGCCATAATCTCTCATTGGAACCTCAGACGTTCTTCTCGAACCTAGTTACTAAATAAAGTTTTACTGTATGGTTCTCAGATTTGACTAAAACATTTGGTTGTCCCCACAGGTGATCACGTTCACTACAATATGATCATTGATAGGTCGCTGATAGCAGGTTTAAAAGTATGAAATCATTATTTTCAACATAAGGGTTTGTCAACAACTTCACATTAAGATCAGTTCCTTATGCTAAAAGCATTAATGATATTAAATTTTGATAAACCAAATGAAATTATTGCTTTCATCGAAAGGGATTAATAAAAAGACACAGTTTCGTGTTACATCGATCACTGAACAATAAAAGTGCGACACTGTAGATATTATTCCGATGTCAGTTTTGAAATGTTTTCTCTCATTTGTATTCAATATGACAGAAAGTATATTTGTTCTGTCCACACTTACATGAATTTGGAAAGAAATATTAGATATGGGAAATGAAATGAGCAATATGAGCTTCATCAAGTAGGCCGATTTATGTTATTACCAGTTTCGCGCCAGAGCACTTAACCGACAGACCACTGAACCGGCCGGCATCCAACGGTGTTAATGTCGTGAATGCGCACTGCTGAGGAGTCCCATAATAGGACGAAACGATCGTCTAGTGCTTCCAGGTTTTCCATGGTGGTCTAGCTTCAGTTGACTCATGATTTCAACTATGAATATACATTTCGAACAAACTGATCACACTTAATAAAGTTGTTAAGAATATTTATATATGAAAAAAATAAAAGGTCAATTAGACAAAGATCAAGTTTGTCTTCTCATTGTATCATTCAAATTTACCATAATAATTAGTTACTTTTAACTTTTCAAAACTAGCTGCTCATATCAGTACCACTACCATTACGGAGAAAGAGTGAATTTTCAGACAGTTTAATGTCAATATTATGAAACTTGAAATTATACTTATCTTATCACTGTTTTAACGTATATGTGCGTCGGATAGCAAGAGTGTTGAGTTTCTGGGGATATGCAATGTTTAACACTAAAGATTTTATGAACTTCATTATAATATAAATTCGCTTAGTATTGTTTGCATGAATCTTCCCATTGATGTTTAGGACTGCAACTGGTCAGTCTCTAATTGGCATATGTGCATACTATGCGTATTGCCTCGATATAGCCTTAATTCACAAGCGTTGTAAGCAAAGATGGATGCAGGTACATCAAGCTGACGAATCCCAAATAAGACGAAACGCGCGTCCTGGATTCCACTGCTAGCCACTATCCATCTTTGCTTTCATTATAATATGTTTTAATTTTCGCAATTTGATCTGAAATACACTTGGCTTATTTATTCACCCTACCAGATTTTAATTTTTATGATCGTCTAGTCATTATCTTTATTTATGCCTTTCACTTATCAGTTTATGACGCTTTATTAACTAGTGTTGTAAAAAAACATATCAACTCATTTGTCAAATCACATTACCAGTGTCAATGTACACTACTCATTGTACTTAGTTTGTATTTGAATAATTAAACAACAAGTTATGATGGAGTAGGAACTTATACCACCAAACAATTCCGGGTTACTTCATTCCATCCAATGTAATTAGTGTTCCCTTTAATACGATTCCTATACAATTACAGATCGATCCAATTTTAGTGTCCTTCCAATACTACCCCAGTTCCAATCTATTTCAAACCCTATTCTCTCTTATTACAATTTAGTTATATTTTCTATCGTTGTACCTACTGGTCACTTGAATTATTTAAACACATATTCAGTAATACTACTATTAGAGTTCTCATTAATTTCATTTGCTATCAGTCATTGAGATTAGTAGTGTGAACGCTACATCACACCAAATATTCGAGAATTCCTAAATAATTTTTAGTACACATGATCAATCAAGTAAAATAGATGTCTATAAGCTACTTACTTATTACGTTTTTGAACATTTATCATAGGCTCTGTAACCCTAAAATAGAATAACAAAATATCGAAGATAAATTTTCGCTTGAGTCCATTGTTATAACTAGTTGATTAAACATCATACATTTTAGTACAGCCTGTTAAAAACATCCAAAAATAAAGTTTCATGCTGGAATTGTGTATAAAGCAGAACTAGTCATCCAGTACATATATATATGTCAATTCACCTATTTACATAAGCTTAGTTCCGAAATACATTCTTTTGACACGATGCCCAAAAATTAATTTTAACAGTCAGATCTTCGTTGATCAAAAGGTGAGTGATCTATAAAATTATCGTGTTTATTTTTTGTACACTAATGACTAGCTTCAAGATGGATTGGATGGAGTTCTACTGAGAAGCCGTAACCAGTGGACTCCGATTTTTGTTGGGTAGAGACAAGTGTCTTCCTCAGACAATGGATGAATGGTTGTGAAAGATCATGGATTGATTGAAGTTAGACATTAACACTGTTGGATCCCGGCTCAGTGGTCTAGAGGTTAAGTGTTTTCTTGCGAGGTCGAGGATCCTGGGTTCGATTTCCGCATGCGGGATCGTAGATGTGCACTTCTGAGGAGTCCCATACAAGGACCAAACGGCCATATAGTGCTTCCAGGTTTTCAGTGGTGGTCTAGCTTAGGTTGACTCATGAATTCAACCATTAAAATTCATATTTTGTACATAAACATATTATTTTATTGCATAAAAATCTATTCATCTAACCCGTAGTCTATTTTTGAGTTCTAATCATTTGAATCAATACTACGGTCTCATGAGCACCCATCACTCGGTCACATCACATCATTCCATCCATCTTCCGACTAGCATTTCACTAATCGATCCTGACAAACGAAAATTTTGTTCAGCAATCATTAAAAACCTACTCCATAAAACATTTCCATCTTATCCTAATCCATATTGTCTGAGATGAAACATCTGAAATAACAACTTTATCCTATTCGTGATCCTGATAAGCGACATGATGTTCACTCCTGATCCATAATATCTCTCACTACAAACCATACTGAGGATAATAACATTTTCTAAATTTTGTTTTATTGAAGTGCATTTCATTAGATCAGTATAACGGTTTATAACATGGTGCAGATATCACAGAGATACATTGCTACCAAGTCCCACCTGTCACGAATCGAAATTTCAAAGTGTTCTGCCAATCCCCTTCAAACACTAAAAGTCAAAATGCATGAAGATGTCCAATCATTTATACTGGAGGCCACATTGTAACTTGACTGGTATGGTTCGATCAGCATTAAGGACTAGACAAAATGTGACCTTGGTTAGCAATAAATATTTAATTAGTATCAAGGAAACAATCTAATCTATCTATATCTTAAACAAGTAGGAAGTTTATGTATATAAGTTGATAGGACACGATTTTATAGGCGTTAATAAAACATTTTATTACTTGAAGTAAAAATGATCTAACTGGAACCCCATGTCCCTCTATCTAATCTTAATTTATCAATATATGAGAAATACTTCTTACAGGGATCACCCATAGGCTGAGAAAAAACCTACAAAGAAACACCTACACGAAAAGGACATGATGATTCTATGGAATGATTCTTTTACTGTAGGAAACTTTGAGTCTATGTGAAACGGACTGATAAACAAGTATGAGCATGAAAATGAATCAGTCGACGTCAATATAAGCTTGTATTAACCAAATTAATCAAACTACGAACTGAATGGCCTAATTATGAAGCTTTGTCATTCTGGGTTGCATTATCAACTGTCGCTTCATCACGCATTTGATAAGTGGCCGATAGAACAAAACAGCTAATTGAAACAAAATGAAACATGAAAATAAGCAAACCTCTGAAGACAAAAGTCGGATACGATGTCATCAGAACAAACCTACGACGTGACACTTATGGAATAATCAACATGACCACTTCTATGTGAAGTAATAGCTGATGATACTGTCCCACTTAGAAAATTCAACATAATACTAGAAAATTCCACCTGAGCTACAAACCTTCTATATTGATTCATTATAAACAGATTAAAGTAAAACAAGCCAATTACAGTCACTTACATAATTGACGAATCAAGTGTTTTTCCAATATTGAAATACGCTAGTTTGTCAAGGATACGTTCCATCTTATTCGAATCAGATACAGAAAACTGAACCTAGATTTGAAAAAAATTACGGGAAAAATACCAAAAAGCATGAGTTTTTTCATCTTTTTTTCTGATAAAATTTCATTCATAACAAATAGTACGAAAACATTTGGAATCATCAAAGCAGATCAACCCAAAACACCATAAAATAATCGACTCCAAATAATTTTTTAATAGTCGAATTCATGAGTCAACCTAAGCTAGACCACCACTGAAAACCTGGAAGCACTATATGGCCGTTTGGTCCTTGTATGGGACTCCTCAGAAGTGCACATCTACGATCCCGCATGCGGAAATCGAACCCAGGATCCTCGACCTCGCAAGAAAACACTTAACCTCTAGACCACTGAGCCGGGATCCAACAGTGTTAATGTCTAACTTCAATCAATCCATGATCTTTCACAACCATTCATCCATTGTCTGAGGAAGACACTTGTCTCTACCCAACAAAAATCGGAGTCCACTGGTTACGGCTTCTCAGTAGAACTCCATCCAATCCATCTTGAAGCTAGTCACTGGTGAGCCATGATGATTATTATCAGAATGGGGGTTCATATCCCTCATGCGGGACCGTGTTTACCTACTGCTGAGGGGTCCCATACTAAGATGAAACGGCCGTACAGTACTTCCAAGTTTTTAATGGTGGTCTAGCTTAGATCGACTCATGAATCAAACTAATTAAGAACCCAAATAAATCAAAATATGGAAGTAATAACAGGAAAAATATACACTTTTAGTAATTAATGAAATATTCAGATGTCCAATGGGAATTTTGCTTAATTCATGGATAGTATTTGGAAGATGATTCCCACCGATAACCTTAAGCAAAGTTGTCGGTTGCCAACTTTTGTCTTGATAACTAGCTAATGAAAAGTACATACGAAAGAAAAACATGTTCTGTGTTTCCTTTATTCCTCCTAATTGACATGAAAAGTTACAAAATAAAAATTCCTGTAAATAATATTCACAGTCGAGATCTTCTAGAAAAAAAGCATAATGGTACATGTATTCACAAGGACTTATTAGCGTTAACATAACGGACTCTTGGGTTTTTTACAAGAAAATATGGCAAGTATCACACCAGTCGAAATACATTTAGCTATGACAGCGTGTCTTTTATGAAAATATAGGTTTGACATTAGTCGATTAATTTTAGACCAATTAACTGTTCAGTGAAAAAAGATTGAGGGTATGTGGGTAGTCTTATTTCCAAAAGCCAAATAATAGTATATACACACGATGTCTATTCATAGAGTACCAATCTATCAGAAACATATAGACAGTGATCTTCGCTATGTTAATAATTCATTTACTCATAAAAATCCTAATATACTTGTGTATCTCTTATTAAAAGGCTGAGAACACATGTGATCCAATGGGTTATCAACTATCAAATAACTCAGGGAAATGCACTGGCATCGAAATATAAATAATGTGAATAGAATCCAGTGAAGTGAGTATGAACTCACAAATTTACTGTATTAGTTAAAGAATATCTGAGTTCTTGTGTTCACTTACTCACGCTGTTATGAAGCGAAATTCGACTCATCCTTTTCCTATCGAGAAAACACACCACCATAAAATTACAGCAAAACTATTAAAAAGATGTTCGTTTAGGTATATCAGAGACTTGAAATATGCCCTATTCTTCATCGGTTTGTCCTACCCGTTAGTCTAAACTAATAAGATATAACAAAAGTCTACATTTATAAAATTTCATGATTGGATTAAATGTGTTTAAACTCTGAACAATACCAGTTTCCCACCATCTGACAGCTGAAAGTATAGATTAGAACAGACTAGTGCTAATATCTCCAAACATTTTAGTTAATTAATCTAACGGTACATGTTTTTAAATGAATTTCGTTCAATAGACCCAAAAAGCGCTAGACTCAAATTTAAAACATCTCTTAATACCTACTGAACAATAATGTTAACAGATTAAAAAATCTAAATAAAAGTGTGAACAACGGTTGATGGTTAGCGAAATCTTGGATAGTATACATTCATGCGTTAATGTCAATCAAATAAATAAGTTATATTTGACCGATAAATCTCTCGTTTCCTTAATTTTTATTTCTAAAAATGAGTTTAACTTAATAAAATTATGTCACTCATAGTAAATTCACATCAATATAAGTATTTATTGTAATGTTAGGCACCCTTTTGGATAATGCATGAAAAATATCCATCAATAAAGGTTGTGGATTCTACAGAAATAATCTCCGAATGGTACTTGCCATTCAACTTGTAATGGGTTTGAGATTGTCCCGTTGTTGATATTTTTAAATGAATTTTGACTAGTCTTAGTTGGCGTATGTGTATGCTATGTGAATTGCCTCAATATAGCCATTATACTACAAGTTTCATAGTCACATTTCATCGATTTTTTAAAGACTTGATCATGCTATTGGTCACTTAGTTTAACTATGTGTAACTGCATTATGTGTAAGAGATGAGCTTAACATAGTGTAACAGCAACATAAAGTAAATTTTGCTGTATGAATTCCATTTTGAACGAAACAGTTTATAGACTCATGAGTCTAATCGGTAGGGGTTTGGAGAACTGGTTAGTTATACTCTAAAATCTATCAGATATTAGACCAGATATTAAGTTAAAAAATTCAGCTGTTTAATATACTAATTATAGAAACATACTTTGACAAAGCTAGAAATACACATAAAAAATTACAAATTACCAGTTTACGTCTTTAAGTTCTCTGTGCTGAGTGCTTTAAACATGGAGCTTTCGCCGTCTTTCTAAACAGTCTCATCAGTACAAACTGCATGTAGAAATGAACTGTTTTTGGCTTTAGAGCTGATTAGAACGGTTACATTAGTGGGACGCGTTTTTCTTAATTTGGGAATAAAATGTTCGGAATTTTTTAAACCAACCTACCACACTACATTTATGTTAGCTCGGTGGTTACTGAAATGTTAGTTGATTATATTATTAAGTAATCTTATACAAAAACGAGTTTTCAGCCTTGAAGATTGGGATGAAATTTCAAGGCTTTATCTCCTATCGATAAACGAATTTCTGATACTGAAGTGAGGCAATTAACTAGCGCTTCCTCATCGCTAATAGTCTTTCTGCATACATCTGCATTTAATGAAATCCTCATTCATATATAGTACCCCTATTGCTTTAACAGTCGATAAAAATATGTTTTCGAATGAAGTTCAGAAACTTTCAATGTTCAACTACAGTAAATAAGAGAAAGGGAGAAAAGAGTGATTAGAAAACTACTTGCGCAATTTTCATATCAAATTTTACAATTTATGACTCAGTTTCAAGTGAGTATGACTTTCACTTTAAACTAACAATCAGTTAGTGAACTTATTACTACTGTTTTACGGTTCTGAAATGAGTCTGATCCTGCAATAAGTAAAGTGCGATCAAGTCAGTTTTCACTTATTTGACGGATTGATTTTTTTTTCTGTAAATTCTGTGAAATCGCTGTTACCAGTTAGCTGCCAGGTGGAAGAATATTTAGAAACTGAGGTAGTTTTGTAGTTTGAACCAGAAATTAGGGTAAAATAACCATAATATTCACGATGGCTTTCTTGGAAAGCAGATAGTTGATGGATAAAGAATCGGTAAATATATTTTGATAATTTCGAATGAACTAATAATAAGAACTGGTTATTAAATATTGAAATTATTTTGTACCCTTCACGGGAGTAATCAGAAATACTCCTCAAAATGGTAGAAACTATAACATACAGTACGTTTTCATAGCTAAGAATAAAGTACTAGCAATATCAGAACCTGAGATAAAGTTCTACAGACTACAGAGTTTTAAGAACACAACATCATCTAGTGAATATAGATCCAAATGCATTAATTTCAATTCTATCGCAAATTATTTACGTTTCAGAGACTAATGAAAAGTGAATATTCACTAACCAATTAGTTAGTTGTTGGATACAGTAAACACGAACAAATAGGTCAGAAAAGCCATGTTTCAAGTCTACTTACAATGCTTCATAAACTGGAGCAATGAATTATTAAATAAAGAATTAAGGTTACAACACTAGGTTATACCACACTGCATTCTGTCTAATCAGCTATTGGTAACCAATTCTCAATGGTTTAAACCCCGTCATTTAAAATATTTCTTACTAAATTGCTTCTATAGATAAGTTTTACACCAAAACAAAATACCACCTGCTTATCATTAAATGCCGGTAAGCAGTAGTTTGGAATTTCGTTTTATGTCTACAATCGACTGGTCACTGAGCAGTGATCATTGTTATGTTTTTCTAGTCCTTTAGTGTTGACCGAATTCTATTATTCAAGTTGCATATGGCCACTAACCTGAGTGACTCGAAATCATTTATTTCTACCAAACGAAATGTTATTATGAATATCCCAGTAGCTTGATGATGTAACGATAGTTAATAGTGGATAAAATTTAACACCGATTGCCGAATTAGATCAATCACAAGAGAAAATGTGACATAGAACTACAGAGTACAGCTTCAGGTATCAAATACTCCGGACACTATGATATACGACTTTAACGGAACATTGTTGTTTTTTTATATTTTATTTAGATCATTACTGCTGTCAATCACTTACCTAATTTTGGTTCACCTACAAACATTATTTATCTAGCAGCAAGCAGTGTTGACACACAATCGAATTTGAGGGTGATCAACTTGTAAAATAATATATTTCACGTAATAAAATGCTCCTATCTGTTATGTCCTAGCGAAGACAAAGTATGGGTAATTTCCGGGACATATTAATGGACGATTATTCTATACACATATATTCTTATTTTATAACTGTTTAGTAACTAGATTATGGATATCTATATTCATCTTATTATAAGCTTCATTTTGACCTATAAACTATTATTATACGATTTACTGTCCCCAAATTATGTTCAGTTTATTGATTACTGTCTCCCACGTTCACTTGATCTTGCACAAATATTATTTTCTATTTTATGGTGTGCTGAGGTCTGTCTGTCTAGTATATAAACAGAGTATGCTTGAAATAAATGATTCGCATAACAGAAGCTGTGATTGGTGTTTTGGTCTCAATTGGATGGGCTAGGCGAACTAGGTACCAATGAGGACGTTAGACTACTCATACCGATTGAACGTCATTGATTTAGCACAGTGCTAAGATTGGGGAAGTCGTATTCCGATTGGTGGATAAATCACATGGTAAAAAGTCGGACATAAAAATCAATAACGAATTGTCGTACGTCTTATATTTTTTTATAAAGTCACAACACTATCTATAAAACCATAAGAACAATTTCACGTTAAATAATCCGCCAAACATAAACCTCTATCCCTTGATCTATTTGAAGAGCTGAAATACAACTGATTCAGAAAAAGCTGTAGAGACTACTGGTAAAGCCGAATAACTGATATGTTTCTATGAAATTGCCTTGCAGATAAGATACATTATTCATATAAATAAACGTTTGTAAAAACTTACAATAAAGTAGCATTTATTTCTACTAATTGACCATTCATCATCATATATTTGTTCCTCAGTTAAAATATTTCTGACAGACTGGAATAAAATAAGACAGAACAAAAAAATTCATGACAAATCTATTGAAACAAACTGTTTAAAAGATAACAGTGATATTGGTGAGACCTAATTAACGTTAAATCAAATGGAAGGCTTGTTCATTGATGACTACCATAGACAAACAAAAGTAATCTCCAAGTTAAATAGTCACTTGAGCTATCAGGCCGCACTAAAAAAGCCTTTTTCTCACCATAAATGATATAACTCTTTCAGAAAAGGTAAGCTAAATGTATTACGAGCAATAACATAAAATTCTATCTAGTTGAGGAACAATGACAGAGAAAAAAACTCGGAGAAAGTTGAGTGGGTTTAAAATAATTTGTCTGTTGGCTGGCGCATTTTTATTTAGAGTTAGACACAAAATCAACAACCGATCGAGCATAAAGAACACCGGAACAGAAGTAAACAAATAGACAGAAAGAAAGTACGTAAAAGACTTGTTATTCTCATTCACACACTGAAAGCGTCATGGAGGGGTTGAAAGAAATATAAGAATATCACAGAAAACAAAACTACCAGTCAGAAAAAATGTTTTTTTCTTCAGTGAAATATGAAGCACAAAATAAACATGATTTGAAGTCAATTGAGGCAGAAATGACTACCACACACTGATTTGTTAGGTCGTTCATATTCCAGTGGAATTAAGGCTTAAATATCAAGATAAATTCTGGCCCGACACAAAAAATATGATAAGTTAAATGTAAAATTGAAAAACAATCCAAACAAAGCATGGATAGAAACAGTGAATTAAAACTAACCTTAAGCAGGAATCTAACTACCTATATTAATTTTTGCTCTGGTTGTTAGAAGGGATATCGGCTTATGCTCTTCCATGAGAGGTAACAGGAGTAAGTAAGTAAGTTAAGCAAAAAGAGACTTGGAAATAACAATATTTGATTATTTATTGAACACCTGACTATGGTATATTTTTAATAAATAATCTTGTTAGTATTAGCAACTAAAATGAAATTTCAAAAAATAGTTGTCAACAATCTACATGATCGATTGTTGTAATAAACACTGGTTAAGAAACATAGTCACCATATAACAAAGTGAACAATTTCGATCCAATGTTCATTAAAAGAAATATTATTGTGTGAACAATGAAAACACTCATTTCATCGCTGACTACTTACCAATTAAGACTGTAGATGGATATAATGGAAGAGAAATAAAGTGTGGAATGATGTCCCAAAAAAAAATAATAGTAAGGTAGGAACCATCCAACTGCTATGATATGAATCAATAAAACACTTATCCAACCTTTTACAATAATCAGCACAATATCACTATATAGCATTTCAGCGTTTAAGTGATTGGTGTCAAAACATAATCGAATATTACTTGGTGATCCTTTATCACTATAACGTTGTCGAAAATTTAATAGTTTGAGTACTACACTTTAAATCGATATTCAAACTGTGATGAGCAAGATTGGCATAGTGACGGTGGTATTGGAATTAGGTCAGGTCACACACAACAAGTACAAACGAACGATCAACACCACTAGCTAAATCTGCTTAAATAAATATCGCTATTTGAAAACTATGCTTATTTGGCATCAATCATTTCGTTTAGACTACGCTTGTGATCATCAAATAATATTTACGCATTTATCATTCAGTTATATTTCTGAATTATGTCAATTGAACAAACATATTTTTCAATTTATAACCCATTCCATATAAAAAAAGAACTTGTATTGTTTGGCCTGCTTCCTCCTCAACATCTTTATCACCTCATTTACATATATTATTATTATTGTGAATAATGTGCATGAAAAATAAGTCAAATGATTACAAATGACTAGTTTGAAAATAGGTCATTGTCTGATGATTTGCTTTTCCGATCTAACTGTGTTTGGTGGTGTTATGTAACTACCATGAAAGAATGAGAGTATGGTTTTGGAGACTGTAAATCAGTTTTATGCGCTCCGAGAAAGTAACATGCAATGATCGTAGTTGACAACTACTGACTTTGTTGACTACTATTAGTAAAGTTTAACTATCGTAAATGTGTGTTGAAAACGGGGGATTTCTATGTAATACAAGTGAGAATTTGAGATTAATTTTGTTAAATCAGATTACTATCGATTTCGCTCCTCAAAGGTGATACAATTTATCAAAAACAAACCTAACAGAAGCCAGAAAATTATTTGTTTAATCTTTAACAGTCATATTAGGAATCGTAGTTATTTACTTTTTGTGTGCAGTCTGAAGGATTTCCATGATATATCCACGATACTTGATAAACAATTATCAGTTAATCGATCATTTCAGATATCCGAGAAGAAAATGTTTTGTGACCGTAACACATGTGTGTAAAGATGAATCTGTAACTTCCACATACGTAAAGCCTTCCAATCCATCTACATTTTTCATCAAATATTCAAATGGACTATATCTTATCATTTTATTTAGTAGTATTCACTTATACGATTGACTTATATTGTGATATGGGTTACTTATATCCACACAAGCAGTATATAACGATGGTCGGGCATTGAATGTGTTTCAGTAGAAGATCGATAAGGATAGAACGGGAACGGGACGCAACTGGTATGAAAATGAACAATAATAATCGGAGACTATGGACTAATATTTGCAGAAGGAACAGTCAAGATTGAGACAATTGATTGTTATTTTGCTAATTAACCGTTTACTGTATGGTTGTCAGATTTTAGTAAGATGGTCTGTAATTTACGTTTCAAATACATTTGATTGTCTTCACTCCTGTTCTTGTTCATTACAATATAAACGTTCTATAAACAGTGTTATTTTAATGGAAGTCGGTGCATTCCCACTCTGGAATTTTTTATTGTAAATTTACTGTTGAGACGAATTACTGGAGAATGTTTTTAGTGTTTTAAGATTGATAGCTGTACTGAACTAGTAATTTATATCAGAACTTGGTATAGTTAATAAACGTATCTTGTAAGAGCTCTGGAAGGATATCACCGAAAAAATATGTACTTCTCACTACTACCATTCAACTGGACACAGCGAAGAACCAGAATTGAGACTTCCTGAGTTGTCTATATCTGGGTTTTACCATTTAACATTGATGAGGTTTACGTTATTTATAACAAAACTGTTTACTGACTGTTTATGACGTAACCGATTACAGCCAAATGATTAATTTTGTAATTTCGTTCTATGTATTTTGTTATTTCCGTAGTTGACATTTCTAAATGTATAGATTATTTGCTGTTGATTTAATGGTCTTTCAAAAAAAGTGGTTAGATAGTAACAGCGTCTCATGTTTGTTGAATATTTTAACTGTGTCTAGTAATAAAATAAAGGATATATCGTACTTCTAATTGAAACTGAGTTTTTGATAGAGCTTCATCTATCATGAAACTCATAATTTTTTCGGTATAATCTTCGGGTTTCCACAAAAAGGTGGGACTTGAAAGTTTCTACACGAACCAAAACGTGTCATTTGGGACTGATGGATACTTAAACTATCAGAACTACAGAAACAAATTCTGAAGGGGTGTTCCTTCCATGTCACCTGTACCAAGATGTATCTGTGCTTCGGTGCCGAGGAATATTAAAGTATTTAGTTAACATTAGAAACGCTAGTCTTCCAACAAGTTTTGCACTTATTACTTAAAATCACAACTAAATAGTATTCAGAGACAAACGATCATCACTTTCACTTTATCGCTAAGAATTTCGTAAGCGTGTCTGATTTCTCAAACAGCTGATCGAACATAGCAGACACTCATACTTCTGTCGTTAACTAGTCGTACAAAAACAGACAGTCGGATTTGGCAACTTACCAGATCTTCCTAAGAACCACCACCTTGTTCATTATTCTAATACGTAACTTTGCATTACAGCACAAGTATGTAACTAGTATCCAAAAACCAATACGTTTGCTTTATGAATAAGAAAAACCAATACGTGAAAAACACTAAGGTGTTATGAGAGAGTCAATCAGGACGATGATGTTCTGTATCTGAATGAATCGGAATGTATGTGACATATTTAACTTAAAATAATTTTTATAGTAGAGGTATACAAATCACTTACCAGAAAAAACGTGAAGAAATGTTTGAACTAAATTAAAAGACTTATTTGACTCAAAAATAGTTGGTGAGACAAAAGCTCCCAGCAAAAGGACCACCATTTTAGAGCTCAGTGAAACAGAGAGAAAGAAACCAACTGAAGATACCAGCTCTTGCACTTTTGCATGAAATCCAAAACTCGATGTTCGATATCTTGTACCTCGTTAAGTACTATGTGAGAACTGAGTAAAGTCTATCAATATTTAGTCTCTAGTACGCTTAAAACTGATGAAAACGTAAATACCCATGAATAGGAATGAATTAGAGCGATTCGTGAAATGACAACGGGAGAGCTGTAGGTTTCCTCAGGAAAAGACAATGGAAAGTAAATAGAATTGAATTGTACATAACATTTAATGAAGTTTTGTTCTCTTAGCTGGATGGTTTGGTCGTGGAGCTTTCATCGTCCTTCTGAACGACATCATCAGCACAAACTTCGGGTAGAAGTCACAACATAACATAACATTTAAACATAATTTATGGATTTGTCTAGGTAACTCAACAGCTCATAAAATTTTGAATTTAAGGAACTACCTACATAATTATTCAACTTTATGGTTACCAGGAGTTCTTCCACTAACCATAAAGCTCAACCATCACTCCTAAACCCAGCTCTTTTGTTTACGACAAATAATTTAACATATAAAGACCGATTGTTCATGTCAAAACTGTTTATCCATTGTAATTTTATTGCTTTCTTATTGCTTGTTTTATAACTAAAAATTATTTTCTGATTAACCGACAAGTAGTCCACGGTCGTTGATATACTTTCATTCTACCGAAAAATTCAAATTGATTTATGAAATCCGATTAATTTCAAGACATTCTTTTAACTGTCTAATTACATAAGCCGTAATAAATTATGGTGCAGAAATTTGGCTGATAATTCCATTTCAATTCTGAGGAAGGAGTGATTCTTAACAAGGATCTCGTTATCTTCTTTCATGTAGATTCATAATCTTACCGACTGAATTTATTAGTCTAGAACTCTACGTGTGATATTCACCTCATTCACTCAGTGGTTCTACCATAATCAAACAGTAATTTTAAAGCACACACTCTTGGGTGCTTGTAATTTTCGAAGATTTTCAATAGGCCATATATTAGTACAGAATGCAACAGTGGGTACATACAATTCATCCGATAGGTGTGCAATTATACTTCTGATAGCTAAAATGATGATAGTTGATAGTTACCAACTAAACTACAGACATACACGCCACAATTTTGCAAGTCTATTAAGTGTAATGCGACTTCTGAAGTATGTTGAATGGCTAACTAACTTCACCTCTTTACTGTCTACTTTATTACTTAAAGATTGAATATCGGCTTTAGAGTATCATTTTAGTTCTACTGGGTGAAAAACATTCCCTTAATGATTTTGTGCTCTTGACGCTAAAACGACAAAGTATATTATATGCATGAACCTAGACAAGTACAGAAGTATGTGTGCATATCGATTCATTATTAAAATGACTGAGGTAAAAAAGAGCCCTAAACAGTTTTCAATGTGAAACGGTAATTTATCTTAAAAGGTAGTTAGTTTATTTTTAAATTATTATGGACTAGCAGCACAATCAAACTCCTTAATTCATTTATCTCATTATCAATGAAAAACCAATCAATACGAAAATGGCATTAAATAATATAATCTAACACCGTTTCTACAATTACCACTGAAGGTTTGAGAATTGTACACTCACCTCCTCCATTGGTATTTCTTCTAGAGGCATGTTAGCATCCTTATTAGGCGAACATAATCCATTGGAATCATCCACCTTTCTGGGAAAAACTGTACGTATCAAACACGCCATATTATTTACACAAAATTGGAATGCATGCAAATCACAAGCCTAATATTTGAAATGTGAATACCGATAGCAATTTTGACCAATCAACTAGAGAAAACTATAACAAATGCACAGTCACGAGTACACATGCAAATCGACAAACCCTAATTGGAATAGCCTATTCAAATTTATAGGAATTAGATAATTAACCAATCAGTGCTTGGTCTTAACAAAATGTTGATTTTAACGAATAAATTTTTTGATCGGATATGAGTTTCACTAGCCTTGATCATATACGTAAACAGCTTTCTCACAATATGAAGAGTTGCATTTTAGAATTGTGTAATTGTCCATAATTTTCAAAAACTGGAATTGGTTACTTTTCTGAAATCGACAAAATTCTGGTGCAAAATATTTTATCTACCCTATACTGTGTTTGGTCATTACGTTTTAGAAAATTAATCAATTCCCTCTTAGTTATTACGGAAACGTTTTGAGGTTACGTTCACATGTTTTATGCTTGAGAAATTTCTCAAAATATGACCATAAGTGTACTGAATAATCTATTGACTTAAGCAACAAGACGCGTGATGAATTTTTTTCATTAGACTTTATGACGACTGGATACGTAGGTCACACCCAATGAATTCACAGGACGTTTTTCTTGATAAAATGTATGTTTAATTAAGGCTAAAAACGTTTCGAACGAAAAATGTGATATACGAAAGGATATTATTATAGTATACTTAAGGTGTTTATGTACACTGATAAATGAAAGATAAGTAAACTATATTGGGTCTTACCATGGAAAAGAGTTCTGCTGATGCCTCATCTAGTAATAAAACAGTTATTGTCAGTGTTACTCATCAGTATAGTGAAATGACCTGATAAATATAGAAAAGGGAGATAAAATAAGCTGTGACAGGACAGAAAAATAGCTTTACTCTCTAATAATCTAGTCAGTTATCCGCTTGAGGTTGAATACCGTTGATAAGGCTTCTGATTTTACGCCATAGGCGTTAATTTGAACTCATCTGCACGAAGAAGTGTTTGTAGAGGTGATCCTAATCAGTTTCAAACCATTTTAGGTCAAAAATAAAAGACTGATAGAACAGAATGAAGTTATTAACCACATAATTTGAAACAAAGCAACAAAGTCACATAAAAATTAATCACTTTACATATGGCTAATTATCAACATAATGGTAAATTTGAATAAATGAGCTGCTATTCAATAATGAATTGGTTGGTTGGACTATAAAAAAAAATCAAGAATCAAATTTTTGAAACAGGTTTTTCATAGTTTCTTTGACTGATTGTTCTAAAATATTTGATATATTATTGTCACGTAATATAACAAAAGTCTGGGAATTTTGGAAAGGAAAATACATCAGAGTTAAACTGTGATGTTTAAGAGTATTTGAATTATAGTATAAGCTAATAATCCCAGCAATAACGCAATTTAATCAAGAAGTATTAGATGAGCACGAACGAATGTACTGTATTTGGAATTCAAAATCAAAACAGTCATCAATACAAAGGAGTCATTGGTTCATTCAAACACCACATAAACTCACTAGATTGTGATCATAATTACTTAGAGAAAAAGGGTAAGGATGTTTAATTCCTTACTGTTAGGAAGGCAGTCGAAGGTTAACTACGGATTCTTTTTGAACGCAAAAGTCAGTTTTGATCCATTTAGTTTCTATGTCTCCCATGAATCTTAATACTTTCGAGTTGAACTGTTCACTGATCACTCTAAATCTACTCATTGCATCTACATTGTATCCTCTGTTTAGTAGTTGTCTTCTTATTTGGCCGTTTTGACCCTCTAAGGTGTAGGTTCTTGGGGTTATACTCAATAAAATGAATAGAAACCCGACTTTCTGTCATTTTAATGTAGTGAAGGGAATCAATTGCATGAAATATCTTTCTGAATTGAGTCTGGTCTATCAGCTTTACAAAAGTCAGGAAGTATTTTATAATCTGCCTAATACTGATGAACTGAAATCGTGCGACGTTGTATTTCGATGAACAATGACTATCAACAAAACTCAGTACCAAAAATACAATAATACAATAAATTCCATTCTAGTCGCCCACTAGTCTGATTCATATAGAACTTGTTCTAACCTCATAATCGGTCGATAAACATTGGAAATATTCTGTTACGCATAATTTATTCATTTGTTGTTGCCTTATTGTTTTTGTTCGATATATTTGTGTTTAATTCGTCTCCCATTTTTGTATTAATTAAAAATGGTTCTTGTTCTTCCATAAACAGATAAAATATAAAACGTAAAGTTTTATTTGCTTCAACTATGGTAGGTTGAAAACGTGTTTTTCTAACATATCAAAATTTAGCTTTCATCATTTGTCAATTTCAGCTTTATGATATGAAGATTAGTTTTCAATTACGTATGATCAAGAATGGACATCATCCTAAGCAAGGTTAATCAGTAATTATGTTAAAAGTATTAAGGATGAAAAGCGGTTTCTTAAGATAAACATTCCCCAAATAAAGTTCACTCGTATTACGACATGAAGGAAATAGTACGTTATCTCATCTATAGAATTATTTACTTCTGTGCATTATGATACTTCACTAGAAAAGTATTTACGTGGTAAAAAGTGTGTTCTCAACTAGAGAAAGTAAACTTATCATTACACCGTGAACAAAAATAGCTCTTCAAGTGTTCAAAAAACTAACATTCTGATCTGCTGGACAGTATTTAAGTTTAAAATTCCTAAACTCACTTGAGAACTAGAGGTATCACATTACTATCATTTCCAGGAAGTTTTAGACAGAATGTTTTTGAACCAAATGAAAAATTCAGTAGCCACATAACTTCGAGACCGATGGGCATAATTTCTTACGGAGTCATCGTATACCGATGAAATTGCGAAAATGTAGATCATTGTTGACCAATCAATTGAATGGAAGTTTTCATTATAAATCAACTTTCTTGCTTATGAGAAAACGCCTGAAAATTTGAATAGGAGAACCTTATGGATACTTCTCCGACTGTAAAGGAGGGCTCAGGAAAGTTGATTGGAGACCGCTGGTCGGCGGCCAAAGTTTCATGAGTGTTAACAGGCATAAGTAAGTGAATTTATTTTTGTGTTAGATACTTGTGACTTTCAACTTACAAATTTAAAATTTGATACATTAAATAAACTTAAGTGTTAATCAAGCTAGGAATTATGTTGATCAGGTTTATAGTCATAAGTCTACTTGATTAATCAAAGTCATTTACTGGTAACATTAAGTGTACCCGTGTCATCAAATACACACAACGTTTTCAGGGATACTCGTACTAAAATGTCTTCATCCAAGAACTTTCTATCCTAATACCATTTTGAATTCAGATCGACTGCAAAACACAAGCTAGAATCATACCTGATTTGAAATTTTAATGTAGTTTGGAATATGACCACGCAGCTGTGTCGAACCTGCAATGAACCCACTGATAAGTAGTGAATTTTTGATAATCATGGCTCGACTATTTATTGGAAAAATTAAATAATAGTAAATTGAGTAGAACCAAATATTTTTTTCCAGTCATCCGACGTTTATTTCAATTTTGAATAATAGTGATCTTTAGTTAGTGTCCCATTTACTAGAAAAGTTTAAGGAAACTTTATCTTTGCAGTAAATGTATGAAGTGTTATAACCGTACGAATGCTGAATATAACTTTAGGGGTTTATGGTTATAACAGTCCTTTTACTTCTTACACGTATGTGGGACGCTAATTTACCTTAGACGAATATCTACACTAGATTCCCACCCAGTGTCTATTCAACAGGACTTCAACACAACTCAGATCAAGAACACGAGATTAGCCTGACCACAACGTTAATATATTTCACACCAAAATCCGACACAAGGAACAGTCAATCAATAACAGTCCATCAATAAGTGTCCATCAACAAGGAACAGTTAATGCATAATAAGGATAGGGGAATATATATAACACATAACACCTGTCATCCTATCTAATGTCTGACTCATCGAGACAACCAATCATTATCATTCTCGCCCACACATCATGAAGTATAGTTTCACTGTTTTATGATCAAGAACTGGCATAATTATAAATATAGCTAAAAATAGATTCATTCAAAAATTCCAGTCTTGAGTGATCTTTGAAGAGTTTATATCATCATATATCTGTTTGTACCATACATATATCCGCCTGTAGCCTTCTAGGATTTTTGCCGGTCCCAAGCCAAGATAGAGGATTGAAGATGGGTTCAATAACATATAGCAGCTCATATACAATTGATTTTCTTCATATCTAGTTTGGTTAAGCCCTTTTGTTAACTTATTTGACGGACAGAGACATTAGTACAATAACAACCTATCTATACTATTTTGGGGATTTTTGGAGATTGTTGTATTTTCACTGTTGAATTCACGGATCGAGGTTAATCGTTCGCGCGCGAAACCAACGGTCTTGGGTTAGAGTCACGTGTGAGGGATCGTGAGTATGCCGAGGAGTCCCATACTAGGACAAAACGGCTGTCCAGTGCTTCTAGGTCTCCATTTGTGTTCTAGTTTTCATCGGCTCGTGAATTTAACTGTGAAAAGTTATTTGGTGCTATGCACCACCAATGATAGCAATGAGGACGAAAAAGCTCAGTTTTATGAAAGGCTGCAGACGATCGTAGGGAAGTGCCACGGGAAGTACCTGACCATCATGACGGAAGACCTAAACTTCATTGTCGGAATAGGCAATACCGGGTATGTAGATATCATGTGAAGACATGGACTGACAGGGAGAAAGGGGTGAGAATGATGACAGATTTGCAGACGTGAATGTTTCCACATCTTCCAGAGTTTCGCCATCAAGTGCGATTGCGTTGGTGTTCTCTGTGTTGTATTTGAGAATCTTGCTTTTACCTTTGTGAATGTGGAGGCCTATCGATGCGGAGGCTGCTGCTACATTTGCTGTCTTCATCTGCATTTGGTCGTGTGTATGAGAGAGGAGGGCTAGGTCATCTGCGAAGTCCAAATCATCTA